CCGGTGATTGAGTGGGAAGCACTGATACTTCCTATGGATCTCCCTCCGCAGAAGAGGGGGAGAGCAGGTTGGGAATCGAGATTCAAAGCAAGTGGAAGGTGGCAAGTGGATTGTGAGGCCAGTTTCCTGCTGGTCACAGCAATGTGTGCGCAGAGGAATGACAGGAGCTGTCTGTGGTGTGACCACGCTGCTGCTGCAGCACTGGAGGTGCCAGAGGAGGCAGGGAGACCGTGCATGGCCGGGGTGGGGGTGGGGGGCAGGGAGACCGTGCATGGCCGTGGGGTGGGGGGGGAGGGAGACCTTGCATGGCCGGGGAGGGGCCAGGGAGACTGTGCATGGCCGGGGTGGGGGGTGGGAGGGGCAGGAGACCTTGCATGGCCATGGAGGGGCCGGGGAGGGGCCAGGGAGACCTTGCATGGCCGGGGAGGGGCCAGGGAGACTGTGCATGGCTGCGGGGGTGGGGGGGGGAGGGAGACCTTGCATGGCCGGCGGTGGGGGGGGGGGGGGGCTGGGAGGAAGCTCTTGCCAAAAACAAAACAAAAAACCTACAGGCTTCTAGACCTGGCTGTGAGAATGCCTCCATGGACGACTGCAGGAAGCAAGGACTGGAGGAACACAGCTCAGACTGTTTAATAAACTGCTGTGAATGGAATCAAAAAGTGCTTGCTCCCCAGCAATCTGTCACAGCTCTCGAGGCAAACTGAGATGTGTTTGCATTTAGTCTCCACATCAGACTTAGGTAGTGGAACAAAGTACTTGTCACAGGAAACAGACTCAGTGGAGAATCATTAGTGATTTTTTTCATCTTTTATTTTCATCAATTGGGCTTCTAATTTAGGACCTCTGCCCATTAAGACTCCACCTGTGGAAATCCAGCCATGTAAGATGTTACAAACCGGGTGCGGGGTGGTCTTGCAGGACACAGCCCACTCCAGGTGATCCCACGGCGGCAGCAGGGAGCTCACGACCCTCAGGCGGACACAGAGCCCACATGGACACCTGCTGGCTCCACAGCTAAGCCGGGGGTGAAGGGAGAGGGTGCAGGACCAGAGCCCTGGCCATGGGCAGGGCTGGGCAGGAAGCCATAGGAAGGCAGAGGCAGACATGTCTGGTGGAAAGGGGCTGCCTACACGGCCATCACAGCAGTTTGCTCTCCAGTGACGGTGAGGCACTTTTTGGGCAGATGCACTCTGCCGGGCCCCAGAGTCTGTGGGGGTGACGGGGGTGACACTTGGTCCTCAGAGGCTTCATGGGAGGTGTAGGAGCAGGGGCTGTCCCTCTGGGGAGCTCTGGCACTCAGGGTATGCAGACATGATCAAGTAGTTCACTGTGAAGGGGACGTATGGCCCATATTGCATGTAAGAAAGCCCAGACTGGGCCAGCGCCATGGCTCACTAGGCTAATCCTCCGCCTGTGGCGCCGCCACACCGGGTTCTAGTCCTGGTCGGGGCACCGGATTCTGTCCCAGTTGCTCCTCTTCCAGGCCAGCTCTCTGCTATGGCCCAGGAGCGCAGTGGAGGATGGCCCAAGTGCTTGGGCCCTGCACCCCATGGGAGACCAGGAGAAGCACCTGGCTCCTGGCTTCGGATCATTGTGGTGCGCCGGCCACAGCGGCCATTGGGGGGGGTGAACCAACGGCAAAGAAGACCTTTCTGTCCCTCTCTCTGTCCACTCTGCCTGTCAAAAAAAAAAAAAAAATAGGAAGCCCAGATCATCCACTGCAGATTTGCAATCCCTGTGGGAGGCCGAGTGAATGAGCCTCCCTGGTGGTGCTTCCTGCACTACCCTCACTCCCTCAGGGGCAGTCAGCCACACAGCCGGTCTGCACAGCCTGCACTTTAGCTGGAGACAAAGCTCCCCGTGTGGACAGGCCAGAAAGGTCCCAGGCCAGAGTGCTGGCAGCAGGCCTGAGCCCACATGTCTTGAGTATGCACAGAAGTGGACCATGCTTTGGGTGCACCCAACACACAGGTGAACAAAGGGTATGGCAGCCAAGAGCAGAGGCAGGTCCAGCGACAACTTCATGTTGCATGTTGTTTCCAGAATCCCCAACAGTCCCTGTCAAATGGAACCACAGATAATGGCAAGCAGAGTAATCCCAATCAATGTGCTTCAGACTAGGTACTGCCGACAGCTGAGAATTCTTTCTCTTCTGTCTGGGAACAGCTGTAAAGTCTCCTAACAACCATCATGTTTATCCATCAAGACAGATGGCAAGAGCTGAGGTTCTATCCTGTGCTGCTTAGAATTTTATCAGGTGTCAGACTGCTAAGCAACCTGGCGACTTTTAGACACTCAGCCTTCTGTTAAGTCCTTGGGCCTACATTCAACCCACATTCCTCACAGTGCCTGCCACTGCTCTGCTAGGAGGTAGGTCCATTCATCTGTGCCAAAACCATACTTAGGAAACTCACTGGGGCTGGTGCTGTGGCATAGTAGGTTAATCCTCTGCCTGCAGTGCCGGCATCCCATATGGGCGCTGGTTCAAGACCCGGCTGCTCCACTTCTGATCCAGCTCTCTGCTATGGCCAGGGAAAGCAGTGGAAGATGGCCGAAGGCCTTGGGGCCCCTGCATCTGCTTGGGATACCCAGAAGGGGCTCCTGGCTCCTGGCTTTGGATCGGTGCAGCTCTGGCTGTTGCAGCTTGTTGGGGAGTAGACCAGTGGATGGAAGACCTCTCTCTCTCTGCCTCTCCTCTCTTAACTATGACTTTCAAATAAAGAAGTAAAAATTAAAAAAAAAAAAAAAAAACAAAAAATCACCATGGGGCCAGCATTGTGGCATAGCAGGTAAAGCTGCTGCCTGCAGCACTGGTATCCCATATGGGCACTAGTTCAAGTCCTGGCTGCTAAGTTTTTGATTCAGCTCCTCACTTCCTAGGGAAGGCAACAAATGATGGCCCACTTACTTGGACCTCTGCCAACCATATGGAAGACTGGGATGGAGTTCCAGGCTCCTGGCTTTGGCCTGGTCCAGCCCTAGCCACTGTGGCCATTTGGGGGGAATAAACCAGAGGATGGAAGATCTCTTTCTAACTTTGCCTTTCAAATAGATGAGTAAATCCTTTAAAAAAATGTAAATAAAATAAGAAACAAAGAAAACCCACCACACAGCTTTGTAAGATGTGGGACAAGCCACACTGGACAAAACAGATGCACCTTCCAAGTCAGTCTTCCAGCTGTGGATCCAGTGCCTGCAAATGCTCAGAGCTTCAGACAGGAGCTAAGTGTAGACGCCTGAACCCAGGTAATGGTCACTCCACTTCAGGACATTCAGGCCACAGTAGCAGGTAGCAGGCAATGCTCACTTCATTTATGTGTAGTGCAGATCAGAAGCGGATTTAGTGGAATCAGGAAACACAGTCAGTCTATGACCACATGTTTTCTGTAGTTTTAAAACCATGCTGGTTACTAAATATTTCGCTGAAAACTATACCTAGTCAACTTTTTTTTAAAGTTTATTTGAAAGAGCAACAGAGACACTAATAGGTATCTTACGCCCTCTGCTGGTTTATTCCCTAAATGCCTGCAACAGCCAGAGCTAGGCCAGGCCAGAGCTGGGAGATGGGAACTCAACTGAGATCTTGACCGTGGATGGTAGGAACCCTCCCACTTGAGCCATCACCTGCTGCCTCCCAGGGCCTGCATGAGCGGGAAGCTGGAGTCAGGAGCCTGAGCTGGGAATCTGTCTTCACCAGCGTCTTAATAGCTTCCCTAAATGCCCACTTTCCTTATTGTTGATCAGTAAGTCACACAGGTAGTGGGGTGGGCATTGTATGCTGCACCATTTAAGCTGCTGCTTGGGATGTCCACATCCCATGGAAACTGTTTCTGTATCTCCGTCTCTTTGTCTCTTAATAATAATGAAGGCCGGCGCCGCGGCTCACTAGGCTAATCCTCCGCCTAGCGGCGCTGGCACACTGGGTTCTACTCCTGCTCAGGGCGCCGGATTCTGTCCCGGTTGCCCCTCTTCCAGGCCAGCCCTCTGCTGTGGCCAGGGAGTGCAGTGGAGGATGGCCCAGGTGCTTGGGCCCTGCACCCCATGGGAGACCAGGAGAAGCACCTGGCTCCTGCCATTGGATCAGCGCAGTGCGCTGGCCGCAGCCTGCCGGCCGTGGCGGCCACTGGAGGGTGAACCAACGGCAAAGGAAGACCTTTCTGTCTCTCTCTCACTGTCCACTCTGCCTGTCAAAAAAATAAAAAAATAATAATGATAGGGTTAGCGCCATCCATAATAGACATCATGTAGCTATTAGTGGTAAATAGTACTTTATTAGTGGTACTAGTTAACATTTTGAAAATCAGAGTTACAGAGGGAGAGGGAGAGACAGAGATCTTCCATCTGTTTTGTTTACTCCCCAGATGGCCACTATGACCAGCATTGAGCCAGGCTGAAGCCCGGAGCCAGGAGCTTCACCCAGGTCGGCCATGGTGGTGGGACCCAAACACTTGAGTCATCTCTTACTGCCGCTCCCAGGGCATTAGCAGGGAGCTGGATCAGAAGGGGAGCAGCTGGGACATGAACTGGCACCCATATTGGATGCCAGCACTGCAGGCAGTGCTGCTTAATCTGCTATGCAATGCTGGCCCCCGTACTAGTTATTTAAAAAAAAAAATCAGTAAAATATGGGTGGAAGACGAGAAACTGGGAATCACAGCACTGAGAATCAATCATGACCCAGCTGTTACCACTGCCAGTCCTGCAGAGGCCAGAGCTGGTGATAGGCAACTTGGTGCAGACCCAGGGACGCGGCACACACTCTGTTCTCATCAGTTCCTCCCCCCTTTCTGCCTTGCACAGGAGCAAGCTGCTGCTTGCCTGCTGTGGTCAGAAGCAAGAAGTTAGATTTCACATCCTGTCCAAAACTTTAGTGTAACAGAAAATTTTCTTTTAAGACAAGTATTTGAACAGACTGCATAAAAACATGAGATAAAAATATTACCTGCAGATAAGACAAAATATAAATATTAAAATGAAGACCCCCAAATGAAATATGAAAATCTTTACCAAAAAATAGTTTATTGCACAAAGTTTAAAGAATTCCCAAGCACACTTAAATTTATAAAAAATCAACATGCTTTTTAAAGTTACAATTTGTATACATGGTGACACCATTCCCCTGAACAGCCCCAGTCTGAGGACTCTCATGAGGAAACTTTTAATAGAAATAAGTAACTCAAACCACTGAATTTTCTTAGAGTCTCTAAAACATTACCCTCAAGGATCCTACTGTAACCTGAGACCACCATATAATGAATTTTGGCTGGGCTTTTGAGTGGAACAGCTGTTAGCACAGGCTCGGAAGGCCTCCCATCACAGCAATGCATGTCCAAGTCATTTCTCTTCCAAATACGCTGGTCCCTTTCACTCCTAGAACCGTTAGGTATGGCATTTAATTTTTGTGAAAATAAATACTCATGGAAGCAGGAATATAGGTCATGGTGACTCAGTACGCCCATGGCTTTTGCACAACCCTTATACCAAGAAAAGTGAGCTTCCAACGGGGAGAGAGCTTACTGCAAGCCTCCAGGCTGCCTTCCTAAGAGGGCCAGTCCCATTCCCTGGGCCCTGGCCCAAGTAGACTTTCATGTCCTATCATAAAAACATTGCACATTACAGCTTCCAGAGAACAAAGGTGTATAAATCCAGAGATCCGTGGCACCTATCTGACATGTACTATGGAAAAGTCAGTGAAAATCACACTGCAATAAACTGTTTAGGAACGTAAGAAAAACAAATGACATCATGAAGTATCCCAGCCCAGGTTCCCTGGTGTGGATGAACAGTGTGCAGTCACATACTCCAGGCTTGACTGACTTTCCTTGAGTGCCTTCTACAGTGGCCACTTCTACCCACAAAAACAATAACCCAACTTTATAACTCTAGGAGGTAAAAGGGCCAGTCAAGTCCCTTGGAGATAGAAAAATAAGACCCTCAACAATCAAAAGCAGGTGACTTCTTCAGGCTCCTAGAGCACAAAGTGAACCTGGGCCCCCGAGCCCAGGTGAGCTGTGCACGAGAACAGCGACAAACAGGGACCACCACTAAGTGGGCGGGGCAAGAAGCCCAGGTCCCTTGCTGAACCCAAAGGGGCCCTGAGGATGGGACGGGCACGGACAGAAAGCCAGGAGGCGGCGCTGTGTGTGAGGGTGTGCGCACACAGGGCTGGGGTGAGGAAGAGATCTGCTTTTGCTTGCTGATACACTCCAATTTAGAAACAAGGAGAGTGAATATCACTCATCTGCAGAGCTTCTGTGAGCCCGCGGCAAGGAAGCAGCACTGCCGCGGAGCAAGGCGAGTGTTATTTCCTGGTCTTAAAACTAGACCAGAGGATAGCACAACCAAAATAAATAAGGACAAAACAGAAATAATTTAGTCCAAAGTGATTTCCAACATAAGATAAGAAGCAGGGTGCATTTATAATGAAGTTTCAAGTATTATTTCTAGATTAACCCTGTACAAATGACACACATATTTTACAAGTTCGAATACTTGCTAGGGAATATTTTTTAAATACCAAAATCTTTGTGATTAACACTACATTAACTATCAATTAACCTTCTAGCAGTATAAGAGAACACAGCATAAAAATAGCAGTTTTCTCCACAAAACAGACACAAGTCACCTGTCACCAGCACAACCAGACAGACCACTGGTGCCCAGGACTTCATCTCCAGAACGCGGGTCTGCAAGGGAGGCCACAGGAACCACTCATTACAACAAATCCATGAAGAGCGCAACTCTCCAGTCAGCCAGCATGTGCAGTTTCACTACTTTAGGTGGGAAACACGTACCAGTGGCACCTCACAGACTCCCTGCCAATTCTAAACGTGGGTCTGGCCCTGAAACCCCGCAGGAGACCAGACTCCCTGCCAATTCTAAACGTGGGTCTGGCCCTGAAACCCCGCAGGAGACCAGACTCCTGCCAATTCTAAACGTGGGTCTGGCCCTGAAACCCCGCAGGAGACCACAGCACCTTCCTGGTGAAGCTGGCGCATCTCAGAAATCCCTGTACCACAGCTGTGATCACATATGACTACATGACAGCAGCATTCTTTACAGCAGGCATTTCACCTGGGACACAGATGGACAAGGCCTGGAGAAAGCCTGTTGGCTGCCCTCTGAGAGCCAGGAAACCCTGCAGTGAAACCCCCACCTCTTCCCCTGCTTCCTCCCTCTCCAGCATCAGGTCAGTGAAGGGTGAACCTTGCTGTCCCTGCCTACTGGAGACTAACAGGCTTCTTCAGAGTCCCAACTGCTCTTGCTTGGTAGCCAGCCACGATGGAGGGTGGGGCCACACAGAACTAGTGGTCTGATGGGCCACATAGGTCTGCAAGCTTACAGCAAATGGGCGGGAGGGAGAGACCCTCAGAAACTGTGTACAACAAAGACGCTTTCTGTGTGACATTTTTTTCGGTTTTAGAAGATGCCATAGATAAAGTAAATAATTTCTTAAAAATCTCTTCTTCTGATTGGCACCCTACACTCTACATATACGCACTCCCCTCGGCGCACGTTCAGAGGCAGCAAAGACTACTGGGGTGCAAGCTCGGAGAAGGAGGGACAGCTGTCAGCGCTGACACACGTCCTGTGGTGGGATGGCTGCTCCAAAGCCAAGATGGAGAGCCAGAGGCGCATGTAAGGTTTCATTTTAAAGCTCTTGCTGAACAGAGCAGCCAGCGAGGGACAGCACCCACACCGTGCGGTCTTTACAGCTTCTGCCACGGAAGCAGTGTCTGCTGTCACGCACAGAACATCTCCTTCAAAAATAACCCCTCAGACACTCGGAAATTCCTCAGAGACCTTAACTAGGGTCTTGGGATTTGGTCGTCATGGGAAATGCTACGTATGATCCTCAGATGACTAGTTCTCTAATCCTTGGTTCTTGTTCTGTTATATACTTCTTGTTAAAGGCAAAAGCAAATTTTCATCCCTTAGACACAGAGCACACAATCAAATAAATAAAATGGACAGTGGAAGACTCCTCTGCAATCACACACTGGAGTGGAGACTGCGGCCGCTGTCCCAGTCCCTCCTCAGCTCAGCCTGGGTTGTGTCTGTGTCACCCCTAGGGTTGGCATGATCTCCCGGGACAGCAGGGCTGGCAGCAGCTGGGTCTGCAAGGTGGCCTTCCACCTGAGTCCACGAGGACAGGGATTCGTGCACAGTGATGGTGTGCTCCTCCATCTGTCGCTGCAGGCTGTCCATCTCCTGCCTGGGGACACAGAAGATAAGGGAGAGCCCCAGGTCACACGTGTACACGGTGAACAGCCATCAGGGACCCCAGACTTGTCTGTCCCAAGGCAGCCTTGATGGCCACTCACTCCCCAGCACCTGGGGTGCCTCTGGGGACCAAGAAACCTTTACCACAGACCAGCAAAGCTGACCATGGCCAAAGGACCACAGGTGCTTCTGGCACTTGTATCCATACCATGCAGGGGCTGGCAGACTGTTCAGCTCCAGCTCCTGCTTTAGGGAGATGTCAGCTTCCACAGCAAACGTTCTGAAGACAGACCGAGGGCAGGACCTTCACCAGGTTGCTGTGGGAGCCACCCTGAGATCAGTGTCACATATGACTTGCGGTCACAGGGTCACACCTGCCCATGGAGGGCCATTCACACTCAGCCCTCAGCTGGGGGAAATGACCTCCAAGCTTCTGAGGGCTTGTCAGGTCACTGAACTCTGGGCAGACCTTCCCCCAACCTGCCCCCTTGACGAGAGGCCACGTCTCCTCAAAAGAGACCTGCTTAGACTTTGCTGGGCCTTTAGGGCTGGGAACAGGAGACTGCTCCTAGTGAAACATGCCACTTATTCTTAAGGACTAAGTGCAGAGGGACACAGCATAGGGCATACTTGAGTTGCTGCAGGCAGCTGTTCAGATTCTTGAGGGGCTCCTTGCTCACGGCAGGTGGGGGCCTCAGTAGCTCCTCCAGCAGCGAGGCTGGGACAGGGCAGTCCGGGATCTTGATGGGTGTCGCGGGGCTGGATGAACTGGCCTCACCTTTCAGTTCCTTTCTCTGTGTTAAAAGGCATATCATTAGTTCCCCCTGTACCTACCCTGCTGAGCTGGCCACAGAGTCAGTACAGGCTCACAACTGAGGGGTTCAAGAAACAACGGCTGAAGAAGTGTATTCCTAAGGCATTAACACAGAGCACAGGCCATGTTTGCCCTGGGTCCTTTTTAAGAACCTCATTCAGGAACTCTCTGTGAGACCCTTTGGCCTTTGACCTTTGCTAAGAAATCACATAAATGTCCCAGCTTAAACTCCTGGTCCTAATGTAGGAAGCTTTTTCAGTGGGTAGCCACGGGATGCTAAATAACCCTTGAATCCCACAGATTCCTTTGCACCTGCCTCCTGAGACTGTTGATGTAGACCAAGGACAGGAAAACTGCCAGGAATGCAAACTCTGACATGGCCAGCTACAGCAGCATGGGAGCTCCAGGCCTAAGCCCACCCCGTAGCTGCCAGGCTCTAAGAACACGGGTCCTGCCACCTGGTTTATAAAGCACACTGTGACAAGGTGGTGATGGGATCTGGATGCGTGAAAAGCAGCAAATTTCTGTTGGAAAAGGCACTAAGATAAAATAATCTGGCTGACTGTCCAAGCAGAATACACTGCTGTCATTTATGTTCACGCGAGTTGCTCCGTGTTGGTTAAATACGTGTGTGTATGTGAATGACATGCACATAGGCCAGCTTCCTGCGCACACAGATGTATAGCAGACGTCAGTTAACCTGAAAGGGACATGAGCCTGGGTACCGTCTTTGCTGTGCTGCGGCGCAGGTCCAGCTGGAGCTGCTGGTTCTGCTGAAGCAGGGTCTTCATGCTGTTCTTCAGCTCTGACACTTTAGCTTGAAGCATGAATTTATCCTTCTGGGTTGAAGACAGGTCTCCCTGCACCACCTCCAACTCAGACTTGACGTTCTAAAGAAAGTGAAGGAAGATTTTCAAAGCTAAAGTATCTTAGTGTGTCCCAATTCTAAAGGACTGAAAACACAACAGTGGCCACCCAGGGTGAACTGTGGACAACTCCCACCTCGGGACAATTTCTGTTGCAAGTGTTGCGGTTCAGTCACACCTCAGACTCCAGAGCCTCTGCTCATGGAGTAGCAGTGTCCCATGGCCACCTTCGACACTGGACCCCAAGAACCCCCTGCCTGTACCCCAAAGTCAGCTACTACAGTAAGCCCAACCTTTCCTAAAAAATAATCTAAGTCAACCCTCACTATGAGTCAAGTCACTCAGTTTCAATGGGGAGTCGCAGCCAGTTAGACTCTGATCCTCTCCCCGAGCAGAAAGGATTCTGGTAGAGAAGCGTCTCATGAATGGGCACACATTCTCGTGAAGCCATTTTTCTGGCATGTTTCACACAGCCCAGCTGGGGGACCCAGAGCAGCAACCATGCGGAGCCTCCTTGTGACATGGGGACGTGTCTCAGGAACCACAGATCTGGCAGGAGCACGCACTCTGAGCAGGCGGGAGCCATGCACACGGATACCTGCAACAACCGCTGCGTCCCTTCCAGCTCCTTCCTTCCCTGGTGCTCAGCCAGGTCCAGCTGCTGCTTCAAGGACTGGATTTCCCTCTCTTTCTGATCCACTGCCCACTTGAGATTTTCCATCTAAGGGAGGAAAGACACATGACCAAGAGAATGGCAAAGTGGCTGTGCACCGGAGACTTGCTCTAGGTGTCTCTGTAAGCCGCAGTTAGAAGAAAGTAAACATCCCTCTCCTGGCAGGCAGGGAAGCAAGCAAATGCCCCCCCAGCAGAGCCTGGCTGTGGGCCACGTTAACCAGGGGTGTGAGGCCGGGGCCACCTGTCACCTCTTGGTCTTCCATGGGCTGCCGGCTTGGCTGCTCGTCCAGCTGCTTGTGCAGGAGCTGAAGCTGAGTCTGGGCCTCAGCCAGCTCTGCCTGGAACTGTGCGACTTCTTGGGAGTGTTTCCCCTCCCGAGCCCTAGCACAGAAATTAAGCCAATGAAATAAAATTACAACACCCCAAACCCTCCCTCCCGTTCACACAGGATGGCTGATGCTGTGGGAGGGAGACCACTCAGCCTGGACTTTATAATGCAGCATCCTGCCTAACCCAGAAGCACTGTGTGCAGCCCTACCCAGCCACATCTGACTCCACGCTCACGAATGTGGAGTCCACCATGAACCTCCTAGCACCCAGGACACAGCTTACACTGGGGCTCTGTTCCGGGGAAGGATGAGCAAGTTGGGGTATGGACACAGGACGGTGAAAAAAAGCTGGAGTAGGTTCTTAACTAGAGTCAGCTGTGTGCTATGCTGGCTGGCCTCAAGACTGCTCAGCTAACACACAGATGGCACTTGCTGCAGATGGGTGTGAACTGAAGATGAAGGAGACATTAATGACCCTGCCCACACCAGAACACGTGTGGCACAAGCCTGGCGAGGACTTCCTGAGTGGGGTTCAGATGCTCACTGGAGCCCGTCGGCTGCGGCTTGCAGCGTCTGCACCAGATGCTCCTTGGCTTGTAGCTCCTTCTTCACCTCGCTCAACTCCAAGCTGGCAGCCTTGAAGTGGCGGCGGTTATGCCCGGCGTCTGCCTTGGCAGCAGCCACCTGAAAACAGGGAAGGGAGGACATGGACATTTCCCACAAGACACGTGTGATGCCTGCAGACACCACAGCACACTTGCAGCGGGCAGCACACCAAGTCCCAACACTGCAGTCCCTTCCCACCCCAAGTGTCCCAATGTCTTTCCTTCCCAAACTCAGCAACTTCCTCCTAGAGATGAAGGCCTTAGCAAAGAGCTTGGCGCACAGTGATGGCACAACATGTCTGCTGGTATCCACTGAATGCACAAATATTTACTCAAGAATTTCGCGATCTAAACAGTTTCAGTCTTCAGTATATCTGAGAGAACTCTACTTTCCCGTCTGTAACTTGCCTGTGTTTTTCAACTCAACGAGATCACTGGCTGTTCTGAAGTTGGTTTTGTAACAGCACTACATATAGGGCATATTTTTCTAGCCAAGCATTCGTGTGTGTGTGTGTGTGTGTGTGTGCATGTGCGTGCATGGACCATCATTCAGTGCGACAGCACCTTCTGTTGCCAACACCAGTCCGCTGCAGCCTCCCCTTGTAGCCAACAGCACTGCAGCGGCACCTGTTTCCACAGAGCGCATTCCTAGAACGGAAACTCATGGATGAAGGGAACTCATTATGTTTTAGATGCTGAAACACTTTCCACAAAGTTCTATGTGGTTCTGACTGGAAACAGGCTGCACGGCTGGAACTTGGTGCTTGGGATGCCCACATCCCATAGCAGAATTCCTAGCTTTGAGTCCTGACTCTGCTTCTGATTCAGGTTTCTGCTAATGCACTCTGGGAGGCAGCAATGATGGCAGAAGTGCTTGGGTCCTTGACACCGATGTGGGAGACTCACATGGAGTTCCTGGCTGCTGGCTTTGGCCTGTTCCAGCCCTGGTTGTTATAGAAATTTGGGGAGTGGGAGTGAGCCAGTAAGTGGGAAAACTGCCTCTTCTATCTCCCCCAGCCACCTTTCCAAAACAAAACAAAAAATAAACAAAAAGTACACACCTGCTCCTTGAGGCTGTGCACCTTCGTCTTTTCTCTCTCTAGGGCAGCCTGTAAGGCCTGCACAAGCTGCTTCATCTGGCGGTCTTCCTCTTCTTTCCGCTGCAAGACTGCCTGTACCTAATCACATTATAGCAGGGTGAGAGAGATGTGAAATTACAAACAGAGCCCAGGACACAACACAGGGGCCAATGGAATGGACACACTCATTGCTACGCATCACATGATGTGTTGCATGACAGCACAAGCTAGGGAGGGAGAGAAAACTTCTCTGGAAAATACTGTTAGCAAAACAGAAATCTGGCCAGTGCTGCGGCTCACTAGGCTAATCCTCCACCTGCAGTGCCGGCACACCGGGTTCTAGTCCTGGTTGGGGCACCGGATTCTGTCCCAGTTGCTCCTCTTCCAGTCCAGCTCTCTGCTGTGGCCCGGGAAGGCAGTGGAGGATGGCTCAAGTGCTTGGGCCCTGCACCTGCATGGGAGACTGGGAGGAGGCACCTGGCTCCTGGTTTCGGATCGGCGCAGCGCACCGGCTGTAGCAGCCATTTGGGAGGTGAACCAATGGAAAAAGGAAGACCTTTCTCTCTGTATCTCTCTCTCTCACTAACTCTGCATGTCAAAAAAAAAGAAAGAAAGAAAAAGAAATCTGAGATTGCAGGGGTACAATCACATGATCACATTCAAGAATATGACTGGGTGGGGGCCAGCGCCGCAGCTCACTAGGCTAATCCTCCGCCTGTGGCGCCGGTACCCCAGGTTCTAGTCCCAGTTGGGACGCCGGATTCTGTCCCGGTTGCTCCCCTTCCCCTTCCAGTCCAGCTCTCTGCTGTGTGGCCCGGGAGGGCAGTGGAGGATGGCCCAAGTGTTTGCGCCCTTCAACCGCATGGGAGACCAGGAGAAGCACCTGGCTCCTGGCTTCGGATCAGCGTAGCTCTGGCCGTAGCGGCCATTTGAGGAGTGAACCAGTGGAGGAAGACCTTTCTCTCTGTCTCACTCTCTCACTGTCTGGCTCTGCCTTTAAAAAAAAAAAGAATATGGCTGGGTGATGGGGCTAGCATCCTGGGGTAGCAGGTCAAGCCGCCACCTGTAATGCCAGCATCCCATATGGAGGCCAGTTTGTGTCCTAGCTGTTCTACTTCCGATCAGCTCTCTGTTAATGGCCTGAGAAAAGCAGTGGAAGATGACCCAAGTGCTTGGGCCCCTGATACCCATGTGGGAGACCTAGAAGAGCTCCTGGTTCCTGGTTTTGGTCTGGCTCAGCCCTGGCTGTTGCGGCCATCTGGGGACTGAACCAACAGATGAAAGATCTCTGTCATTCTCTCTTTATAACTCTTTCAAACAAACAAAGAAATCTTAAAAAAAAAAAAAAAAAAAAAAAAAAAAATATGACTGGTCACCCAAAATGTGCAATTAAATTAAGGGTTATAATCAGAAACACCTTCAGGTAAGGTAGGTGTAGAAAGAAGGGCTGGTGGGAATTAGGATATTACCTAAGTCATGCAGCTCCCTAGTGACTGGGGAACCGTAGGATGGGGGCTCAGTTTGGCCCTTGGCTGCCATTCTGAAGACTTCCTGTAATGCCCAGCCCACTCCTTCATCTCCAGGGAATGTTCATGATAAGGCTGAGAAGCCAGAACAGGTCTACAGCAAGACCCCAGCCAATATGCAGATCCTAGTGAGGAGTTCTGGTGGGCCTCACTGCATGTCACTGTTTAGAACTGTAAGATTATCCCACCTAAACCACCAAGAGTACTCTCATCCAGGGGGAAGTAAGGAACTGAGGCAATTGCTCCATTTCTAAGAACAAGTTACCAACTCTACTCCTCCCAGCCTGGAGATCCAGGCTTGCAATTTAACTAGATTCTCTAAGCCTGTTCCTACATCTCAAGGTCAGGAACACAGGGGCGTGTTGTGGCACAGCAGTTAAGATACCACTTGGGATGCCCGCATACTGTACTGGACTGCCCGGATTCAAGTCCCAGATTCACTCCCCTGTCCAGCTTCCTGCTAATGCCCACACTGGGAGGCAGCAGATGATGGTTCAAGTACTTGGGTCACTGTCACCCATGTAGGAAATGAGGTTGGAGTTCTGGGCTCTTGGTTTTGTCCTGACGCAGTCCTCGCTACCATGTGGATCTGGGGAGTGAAGCAACAGATAGGAGATCTTTTTCTTTCTTTCCCACCTCTGCCTTTCAAATAAATAAAAGTTTTAAGAAAATTCAGCTTTCTTCTTAAAATTCCAAAGATGAGGATATTCTACTTTCCTTGCAGGTAGTCATTATGACTCAACATAGATGATCACACACAGGTAAGACATTTAGATGCTACCTGGCACACACTCACTTTCATTCCCTTCTGGTCAAGGAGTTGCATACCTGAAGATTCAGCTGGACTAGGTCTGCCTCCCTCTTGGCTAAGGCTGTCTCTAAGATGCTGTTGTGTTCCCGCAGCGCCGCATTGGACTGTCCGAGGCCTGTGAGCTTCCCTCTCTCATGCTCTAACTCAAGAGCCAACTTCTTATTGGACTCCTCAAGGCGCTTTATTTTCCTCCTAAAGCCTCTGGATTCTTGAAGCTGAAACATAGTAAAGTTACTGTGAAGTTACAGTCCCGCTTAAAGGGTGTATCCAGTTTTCTACAAGAAATGAGTAATGCTAACACACAAACTGCCCTTGCTTTCTGACCCAAAAGGCTGCAGAGGCCGGGGTGGTTGTTTCCCAAGCCCCCTCCCTTTCCTGGCCCACAGCCTCACCTTCTCTTGGGGCCAAGTGTTTCTGGAGAAGTCTGCCCAGGGAATGAGCCGTGGGCCAGGCCAGGCCAGGCCAGGCTGAGCAAGATGGACAGGAAATTGAGCAACATGCGTTTCAGGATGGGACAGAGATGGGTAAGTGAAGCATAGAGCCCTCGTCAGGGTGACAGCCCCACTGGGACCCTGATGGAGGGGTCTGGCAGGACAGCAATGGGCTGCAGCTGGGCCCACCTGAACTACGCCATCTCTGAACCTGCGAGTTGTAAGCTCTTAGAAAGGTCTGAGTTGGGATTCTCACTTACAACCAAAGCAATCTGATGGGGAGAAGAGTCTCCATTATAAATGCCAATGGCCATTCCACTGGGGAGGCCGAATCATCCTCACTCGTGTGCAGGGACCAGAGCCTGATGCTCCAGGCAGGACACAGGCCCTCCGCGGGCTCCACCACTGTGGCGGCCATGCAGCATTACCTCGTCTTCCAGCTCCAGCGCCTTCTCCCGGGACTCCTCCAGCTCCTGGCTGGTCGCGGCGATCACCTCCTGCAGCTCCTTCTCCAGCAGCAGCTTGCTGCGGCCCACGCTCTGCAGCTCCACCTCCAAGGCTCGGATCCTTTCCTAACAGCCAGGATGCACAGTGCATTTGGTCACTGTTCCTACCCCCTTGCCTCCCTTGGCACTGACAGGCATGAAGCCATCCTTACAGCATGTCCCTTCTTGAAGGATTTGAAGTAACCTCAACACACACTGCTACAGAGTGACGTGAGGACAGACAAAAAAACAAAAAACAAAAAACAAAAAAAAACAATAAAGAAAACAGGCTTTTCAGTTAAACACTTTGGAAACACAGAAAAATCTGACCTGTAGGTGAAGACTATCAATTACTGCATGTGGCAAACCAGCAGCCTTCACAATAATAAAACCACACATGCACACGTGTGCTCACACCGTGCAAACATATGCTTCCATTACAGTGCCAGGTCCTGCTCCAAGAACAGGCCAGGGATCCAACCTGAATCATCTCTATGATATGACGTCATTGCAGCCTGTTTTACTGGAGCTCCTAAAGGTGAGCCACTTGCCGAGGCTGCCATCTCTCACATGGATGCACACACCCAGATGTAGGTCTCAGCCATGTGCTCCCACAGTTCCACAGCTGGGCAGGGCAAGGCAGGTTCTGCCGAGCATTTGACACCTGTCGCCCCTATCACAAGGCCCAAAGGATAAACAGCAGCAGAGGAGGAAGGATGGCAATGCAGCACTTCCCCCTCAGAAGGGGAGGACTTAACTTGACGAGAAAATACAACGAAATGATACAGTCTCCTTCTACTCACTATAGCCAGGGAGGCTGGCCACAGGGACAAGGCACTCTGTGGCCAGCACCGATTCCTGCCTCAGTCCCCTGGGTCACCCTGCTTGGGACTCCTGTTTATCCTAATAATTTGGAAGCAAAAGGCTCTGTGTCACAGTGCACAGAGCAAGAAGAGCAGCCCCTCCCAATTCTGAGTCTAGCCTCATCAGTCCCTTCCTAAGCCATTTCTCTTCCTGAATCTGGGCATTTGCAGCCACTTCAGCCCTTGTGTGTCCCACACTGACCTTGACTCTGGATCCCTCCCAAACCATCCCATCAGAGCCTTCTACAGCCCACCCCTCCACCCACACATCGTCAGCCCTCCTCAGAGCTGCTACCTCTTGGTGGTTGTTTGCTGTCTCACACTGCCCTCATCACCTCTCCAAGACTGCAGCAGAGTCTTCCGAACTCACCATCCTGACCCAGTATCTCTACGACAGAAGCATGAGCAGAGCCCATTCCCAGGTCGTTGTCCATATTCCATCACACACACGACCAAGTACGAATTCCTTCCTCCCTGCCTCCACCCCGTGCCCTCTCCAGCCACGCAGGCCTTTCAGAGAGCCCCTCTACCTAAATCACCCCCGATCTGTTGTGGACTATCTTGAATGTCACCTCCTGGAAAAGTTCTTCTGGACTCTGCTCAGCACTGACCTGACCAGTCTCACACCCTCACCCCAGCAGCTCAGTGGGCTTGCTCTAAGCACTGCTCCATTCGAGCACTACCTCCGGAGACCCTGGGGAAGGCTCCAGAAGACCAGGGGCAGGTCCCATCTCTGCTCCCTCAGCCAGCAAATACATGTCTCCAAAACAAGCACACTCCTTGAGAAGAAAAGGTAAAAGCAGAGATGGTACAGGACACAGGAGGACTGAGTGAGAAACCATACACAAATCATCACAGGTCCCTGGCACACACGGACACCAAGCCGTGTCACAGGAATGCCACCTAAACACAGTTTCTCCCATCTATTTTATAAATGCTTTCAGAGGGTTTCCAAGGGAGAAACTTGCCCATAAGACACCCTTCCCCGACAGGCACAGTCTCCTGCCTCTGACGGAGACAGACATGTGTTTACCTACATGTAGGGCGGAATCGCTGCCACCGCTGGCGCTCTGGGCTCTGAGCTGGCTCAACTCTGCGTCTGCGGCCTCCTTGGCAGTGAGCGCCTCCTGCAGGCGGCGACTAAGGATGCCCACGGCGTTCTCATAGGCCTTGCGCTTCGTCTTCATCTCCTTCTGTGCACTGGTCAGGTCTGAGCCCAGTCGCTTCATTTTCTGCTTCTGTTCTGTGATGGCCCTGGGGTTATGTGAAGAAATAAGAAGGAAGCTGAACTAACCAGTGCTGCACTGCCCCAGCTGCCTGGTGTGCAACATGGGAGACAGTGAAGTGTGTTTCACTGTAGTGACTCACACTCCAGACCCACGAGAGAGAGCCTCGGCGCAACACCCCATCCCCTACCCAACGCTGACTGCCCCTTAGGAAGTGCGGGTCGGCATGTGCTGGTCCTGCCAGGCTGCTGCAAGGTGGACAGATGACCCTGGCAGGCGTCCCTGCTGAGCCAGGCAAACGGCAAGAGCTCTGAACCTTAGCCATTTCTACCACCACCACCACCAGACCTTGAGAAGGCAGAGCAATGTTTCCAGCGCTTCTCCTGACTGCCAGCAACAAACCTAACAATCACATTCACAGGCGAGTCACTGGCCAACAGAAGCAGAGTGGCAAAGGATGGGCCCCGGGTGGAAGGCCGTCTCATGTGCCTGTGCAGCCTGCATGCAAAGGTGAGTGCACAAGAGGCCCGTGTGCTTAGGCCTACACGGACATGAGGGTGTGAAGGGTGAATACCAAAGTGTCCCTGGCGAGGGAAGCAGGAGTGGGGAGGAAGGTGCCACAAGTGTACGGCACAGAAAGTCAAATGAAAATAAAACAAAAGGGTAGCTTTGGTTAAAGGATGCCTTAGCAAATCAACTCGTCAACTCTGGGATTACCTTCAGGACAAGCACCTGCCAAATCATGCCGGGCCTTTCTATTGGGACCACAACATTCCAGGCTGCCTTCAAGAGGGCCCCGTCACCTCCTGCGGAGCGTGTCCGGGCAGCACAGCCTCGTGCAGACTTACTTCTGGGCTTCCTGCTGCAGCTCCTCCACCTGCTTCTGCAGTGCCTCATTGGCCTCGGAAAGCGCCACCATGTGCTCACTGTCCAGCTGCAGAGACTTCATGTGGAGAGAGGGCGGTCAGAACTGCAAATGGCAACCAAGGGCGACCAATCTCGCAGAGATGCTTGTCTTGTTATAAAAATAATTCACAGAGGTCAAAAATTTCTCACTGCTGTGTTCTCCCTGCTGACTCACCTGGGGACCCCAGCGAGACCCCTCCCTGTCAGCTGTTTGCAGGGCCTCTCTGCCTCCCACCTCTCATACCCTAGCCCCTCTCCTCCCTTCTGTGTGGCTGCAGTGACATCATCACAGCAAGGGCTGCAAGGGAAGGACAGGGCTCCTTTCTTTTTTTTCAAAGGCAGAGTTACAGAGAAAGAGAGAGATCCACTGGTTCACTCTCCAAATGCCCACATCAGCTGGGCTGTTCCAGCTAAAGCTGGGAGCCCAGAACTCCATCAAGGTCTCCAACGTGGGTGGCAGGGGCCCCCTTGGGCCATTCTCCACTGCTTTCCCAGGCACATTAGCAGGGAATTGGATCAGATGTGAAGCAGCCACAACCTGAACCAGCGCTCACATGGGATGCCAGCATCACAGGCAGCAGCTGAACCCACTACACCATAACACTAGCCCCAAAGACAGTCTTGTACATATCCCCGTCCCCCAAAACTGGGCAGCCCCATCCACCACTGCTCAGTCCGCAGCCTCCTAGGGCTGCCTGTTCTCCCTCAGGAACTCTCCACATCCAGCCACGTCTCACTTTCCACACCCGTACTCCCTGACACCAAGCACCACCCTCACAGCTTCAACACCACCTACTCAACGGGCCTTAGCCACAGCCTGGCTCCTCCTGAGGACCTGATCTTGGCCTAGCCCTCTCGCAGGGCTCCTAACATGCCATATGCAAAGTGGAGCTCCAGCTCAAACACCTGGGCACAAATCCACATTCCAGCACTGCTCACCTACCTGCTCCCAGTTACCCTCTTGAACACAGATCAAAGCTCTCACCAGGGACTGGTGCTGTGGTACATTAGGTTAAGCTGCTATTTACAATGCTGGCATCCCATACTGCAGAACTGGGTCAAGGACCAGCAGCTCTGTTTCCAATTGAGCTTCCTGCTCATATACTTGGGAAGGCAGTGGGTGATGACCTAGGTTCTTGGGCTCCTGCCGCCCATGGGGGAGATCAGGATGGAGTTTGTAGCTCCTGGCTTCAGCCTGGCCCATCCCTGGCTGTTGCAATCACTTGTGGAGTGAACCAGTTGGATGGGAGAAATCTGCCTGTCTATCCCCCTCTCTCTTTTGCTCTGCATTTCAAATACATAAACAGACCTTACAAAAACAAAACCCTTACCAGCCACTACTGCTCAGGAGAAAGCTCAGCCACACAATTTTGATTCCACAGGGAGCAGCCCTCAGCCCCTGCAAACTCGTCTGACTAGGGGTCTCTGCCTAGGATCTCCCCTGGCTCTCTGCAGGGCACTGACTTCAGGAGGCTATCACTCAAATGCTGTGCTGGCACAGCATTTCCTTGTTTGCACATGACAGCACTGGACAGTATGGCCTGAGTTCCAGGAGGGCCTTCTCCTAGACTGTTCTTTAAAAGTGTCCCACCCTGGACATAGCCTCAAGCACAATTGGCTGAACCTTCACAGTTCCACAGAACCCACTGTCCCCTCCGCACACCTGCAGCTGCGTCTCCAATGTGTCTCGCTCCTTCTGTACTGACTGCAGCTGCCCCTCAAGATCTGCCATCTGCTGGTGGACCTGGGACACCTCCTTCTGCAAACGTGACTGCTCCACCTCCACGGCCTTTTTCTCCCCATGTACTTTAATTAAGTCTCGCCTCAGCTCCTGCATCTCCGAGTCCAGCCTCTTCCTGGTGTTTTTCAGCTCATTTATGAGCTGGTCTTTGGAAGAAGAATCCCTCCGGTAGGCCTCCACCATCACCTGCCGGGAAAGATAGAAACTTCAAGTCTGGGTCCAAGTTTGGTTCTGCCCAGGGTCAGCATGGCTTAAACAAGAATGTGTGACAACTCATGCAGGTAAAGACAACACGTTTCACCTATCTGACACATCATCAACTGAGAGATACCACTACAGGACAGGCCAGGTGAGGCACTGAGCCCAAACAGGCGTGCGGAGTGGCCTGTCTACTTCCCAAATGTCTGATCTGTTCTGAGGAAGCAATTCCCCCCCTCCTTTGGTGGCAGTGCTTAGCCTCTGACATTGAGAAGCCCCTGTCACCCTGCATCTCCGTACTAAGAAGAACCCATTTCTCATGCTGGCTCAGGGGCCTGAGGCCTTGCAGAGACGTGTAGCCCAGTCACTCCTCCAGACCCTGGATTCCCTGACAAGTGCTTTCTGCATACACAATAGCCTGTTTCAGTCTGGATCATGGTGGAAGTTTTCCGAAGACATGTTAAACAGCAAACTCAACCTGCATATTAACAAAGATGTACCACACTCACTGTTCTTTGTGAAGTGACAACAGTGGGTGTCCTGACAGGTGCTGCAGTGATGGGCACCACACACGTCTATGGTTGGCACCTTGCTTGAAATTGCACCCTGACTTCAGAGAGATTAAAATCGGGCACAGGGAGAACCTTAAAATCAAGGAAGTGCCTTTAAATCAATCAAGGAGTAAATGCAGCTGTTACCTGCTCCGGTACGCATTTCCTCCTGTGGAAGCCATCAGCCTACACAGGACTGTGTTCCTGCACTGATTTTGTATGAAGAAAACCAACCACACATTTACCTTTTGCTGAAGAAACTGCTCTTTTATTTTCTGCGTCTGCTTTTTCACAGCAGTAGTCTCTTGCTGAAGGTGCTCCACCTGTGGGGACACAGATGGCACCCTGATGGCTGTGGAGGACCTGTGCCCTGGGCTTTTCCTGAGAACCAGTCCACAGTCAGGGCACAGACTGGAATGTGCCCATGGCCCCTGCAGTCCCTCAGACAGCCATGGCTCCTGCGCTCTCCCCCTGATGTGGAAGAGCAGAGAAGAGGCAGGACAGGGAGACAAGGGAAGGGACAAGGTGAGGGCCAGCCTGAGGCCAGGGGCTGGTAGGCCTTTCTTGGAAAAGGCCGCACAGGACACGCCTTCAGCTACACAGGCCAGCATTTTTCACCGTTTTCAACTCTGCCCCTGTAGCACAAACAGGCACAGACCACACCCAAGCGAGTCAGCAGGGCTGAGCACAGAGCCAGATGGAGGCTGTGTCTGCACGTCATGTTAGCGCTGCACTCTTGCCACTCAGATCCTGTCACAGACCACTCAGAAGCCTGGGAGAAACGCAGGGTCTCAGGCTCTACCCCCCAACCCCCAAGTTACCTGCATTTGGGAACACGGGCACATGTGAAATACCGGCAGTTCAGACAGAAACGCTAAGAAGCCAGGTACTAAGCACACCACGAGAGCTCTCACGGCACTCAGTGTGGAAGCACTGATCCCATGACAAAGATGTCACACCCAGGCCACGTTACAGAAGAGGGGTTCTGGAGGCCGTGGAACCACATTCACCATGCTGTGCTCCAAACGCTCATCTGGAGCCACTATCTCTGCAAACAGGGAAGGGCTTGCCTGCGGCTCCTCCTACAATTCTTTCTAAGACAAGAACACACTGCACACACATCCTGGTTGTCACTGGGTCAATTTAGGAATGAGCCATTTCCCTCTTCAGGAGTAGTTCTAAGCTTCAGGAGTCCTGGGAAGGATCAGAGCACTGGTTTGTTCATTGTGCAGCACCCACTCCTGGCCCTACAGGCTCCACAGTGGGTAAGAGTCAGAAGCAGACAGAGGGGAGCTGTGTGAAGAACGCTATTCCAGAGGCACCTCAGGACATGTGCATGTGCTGAAGGACCCAGGCGAAGGGGGCCAGCTCTGTCACTCAGGCCAATGCCAGCTCCCAAGTCTGGAAATGGACTCCAGAGCTGGGGGCTTCCCAGTGGGACAGGTGCATGACCACCACTAATCTCTATTTGGTTTTAGGGAAACGATCTTAATCCAAGCAGTAGCTATAAGCAACTCTGTAAGTGACAGTGGAGGTAAAATTATTTCAGCCTTTTCCACACGTCAGCTGATGCTGCTCTTACTGAGTTGACAGTGAAATCAAATTCAGTTTATCAAAGTAAGTGTGACACTTCTCTGAATTAACTTCCCAACTGCTGTAAGCACAACGCAGCAGCCACTGTGGCAGGGCTTAGCACGAGGCCCCAGGAGCTCACACAGAGCAGGTCAACATTTCTAAGGAAAGGCAGCTTCCTTTCATTTCACTATCCCAAAGGGAAAACAGATGAGGGATTCCTCTTGGCCTTGATCCTCAGGAGTGGGACTGAAGAACAAAATCACCCCCGGATACAAATCCTACTTCCTCTGCATCTTTCCTCAGCAATTTTGGCTCTGTATTTTTTAGTGTTTGCCTACCTCAAAACCATCTCATGCATGAACACCTCAGTTTTTCCCAGCTGACCTGCTTGCTAGGTTGTGCTTAGAACACCATGACCCCATGGGGTGTCATCGGCAGGCTGGGCCCAGCTGGGCCTGCAGTGCAGCTGTCCGTCCCTGCCCACGCCTCACACCAGCACTGTCCTGCTGGTGTGTTCAGTGGGTGCCACATGAAAGCAGCACGAAGGGAAAAGCTGAGCTCTTGAAGCTTCCCCTAAAGCCGAGCCCCATACCACCAGAGTGTTTCCTGGCAACACTGTGTTTCTTGGAATGCTATTTTTCAAAAGTCTTGAACAAAACTCAGCCCCCTACTCTGGGCTTCTCCACACCCAGTGGCTCATGCAGGGCCACCAGCAGCACTGGCTGCTGTCACTCTTCCGTGGGTGAGCTTCAGCCCTGCCCTAAAGGCATTACTCTATGGATTACCTGCAAGGATAACATAGCCAGCCACAGAAAGGACCAGAAGCCAGCATGGATTCTGGTACATGTGGTTCTGATTTGTAACAAGATGATAGCAAAAAGCATTACCTGGCTGGACTTGATGGCTAGTTCTTGTCTTAACTGCTCTAAAATTTCCGATGTTTCTTCGGTACCTTCTTCCAAGCGTTTTGCTCCCTGGTCAAATTCCTCCATGCCACTCTTGGCCGCCTGCAGGGCTACCTCCAAGACAATCTTCTCATTTTGTAGGAAGCGGATGGTGTCCTCCTTGGAGGTGGCCTCTCCTTGCAGCTCCTCCAGCCTGGCCTGCAGCTCATCATAGTGCGTCTGCAGGTCACCAAAGGACTGCTCCCTGGCTTGCAGGGCCTCCTGTGTGGAGGTGAGCTGCTGCATCACAGACAGGTGCTCTTGCTGCAAAGCTTCCAGCTGCTGGTCTCGCTGGTGCAAAGTCAACTTCACCTGGAAAAGTAGATAATTCAGTAGGGCTGCCCTTGACCCTACTACAAGAATTTACCTTCCTCCTCCCTATTTTGCTTCTTCTTTAAAAAGATTATTTATTTATTTATTTGAAAGTCAGAACTATTGGGGGGGGGGAAGGAGGGAGGGGGAGAGGGAGACTGGGAGGGAGATTGGGGGGGAGGAAGGGAGGGAGAGAGGGAGGGAGATTTGGGGAGAGAGAATTAGCGAATATCTACTACTGGTTCACTCTCTAAATGGCTGCAACAGCCAGGGCTGGGCCAGGCTGAAGCCAGGAGCCAGAACTCCATCTGGTTTCCCACAAGGGTGGCAGGAACTCAAGGACTTGAGTCATGGCCTGCTGCTTTCCAGGCACATTAGCAAGATGTTGGATTGGAAGTGGAACAGTTGGGACTTAAACTGGCAACCACATGGGATGCTGGCACTGCAGGCAGCAGCTTAAGCCACTGTGCCACAGCGCTGCCGAAGCCCCATTCATGTTTTAAATGTGGACACTCCGGAGAGTCTCTTTTGTAAAATTCTGGTGGAGGAGAATACTGAGAGTTAACATGCATGATCTGCGTAAGTCACAGAGTTTGACAAGGTGACTCTCCATGCAAACCCCATGGGCAACCCAACATGGGGCAACTGATGGGGCCTGAAGTGAGATGATCCCACAGCCTCCTGTGTGTGGCTCTGGGACACTCAGACCAGGCAGCCTTGGGCCGGTGTCTGCAAGAGGCCTCTGAGCCTGGTATCTGTTCCCAAGTGGTGGTGGGCACTTGCCTGGTCCAACTGTTGCTCCAAGGAAGCCGCTGTATCTGCTACCTTCTGCAGCTGCTCCCGTTCATCTTCAAACTCTTCCAGCCTCCTCTGAAGATCCTCCTCCACCATTGTCTTCGCCTCCTGGATCTGCACAAAGGCTGCCTCCTGATCCAACATGTCAGCCTGTGCCAGGAAACAGTGTTTTTTAAAAAGCAGGAAAACCTACCACCCCCAGCAAGAGGACTCTGGTATATATGACCATTCTGTCTATGAACTGCAAATGAGGAGCACTGAGGCTGAAGGGACACAAGGCAGAGGCTAGGCTAGTCAGAGCATCCTTCCTGGCCACCTGAGGCCTGGTCCTCCTCTCTCCTGACTCACAGTCCCAACCCAGGACAGTAGACAAGACATTGCAGTTTTAAGAACTGAGATTTGCCAGCGCCACGGCTCAATAGACTAATCTTCCACCTTGCAGCGTCGGCACACCGGGTTCTAGTCCCGGTCGGGGCACCGGATTCTGTCCCAGTTACCCCTCTTCCAGGCCAGTTCCCTGCTGTGGCCAGGGAGTGCAGTGGAGGATGGCCCAAGTGCTTGGGCCCTGCACCCCATGGGAGACCAGGAGAAGCACCTGGCTCCTGCCTTCGGATCAGCGTGGTGCGCCAGCCGCAGCCGCGGCGGCCACTGCAGGGTAAACCAACGGCAAAAGACCTTTCTCTCTTTCTCTCTCACTGTCCACTCTGCCTGTCAAAAAAAAAAAAAAAAAAAGAACTGAGGTCAAGTGGTGACTGAGGCCTCTCATGGAGACAGGCTGGTGGCACATCCCTCCTGTTGGCTGCTAATTACCAGTTGATACCACTTAGTAAACCAAAAGGAAACCAAGGAATCACAGGGACAAACACAGCATTCCTGGAAAGCTGACCACATGGTTAAGGCCTAACATCTGGACACACTTCTCAAGGAAAAATATTCATTTACAACCTACTATTTTCTCAGTTGTCTTACACTGAGCTCTTGAAGCATTATGACTGACACGAATGACTCTCTTCTATAATGCAAGTCAGATGGCCTCTGAAATCCTTACAGAAAAAGGGACAGAGACAGAGTAAGCAGGGGATGAAAAACCAAACATGTGACCACCAAGGTCAGGGATAAAACTGGCCCAAACGTCCTCATCCACACAACGACCATCTTACACCTTGCTTGGATGTTTATACCACTTTTCTTTTTTCCAGTGAGGTTATTAAGTAGGCATTATTATCCCTGCTTTATATAAGAGAAAGGAGGGGCCGGCACTATGGCATCTGCCTTCAGTGCTGGCATCCAATATGGGCACTGGCAACTCCATTTCCGATCCAGCTCTCTGCTATGGCCTGGAAAGCAGTAGAAGATGGCCAAGTGCTTGGACCCCTGCACCCATGTGGGAGACTTGGAAGAAGCTCCTGGCTTCAGATTCGCACAGCTCTAGCTGTTGCAGCCAACTGGGGAGTGAACCAGTGGATGGAAGACCTCTCTCTCTGCCTCTCCTTCTCTCTCTGTGTAACTCTGACTTTCAAATAAATAAGTAAATCTTAAAAAAAAAAAAGAAAAGAAAAGAAAAAGGAAGCTCAGAGAAGTTAAGGAATCACCCAGGGTCTTACAACTTCTTAAAGAACAGCACAGGGGACGGGTGTTAACACACCACTTGGGACACCCTCATCTCCTATCCAGATGCCTGGTTTTGGACTTCTGCTCTACTTCCAGTCCAGCTTACTGCTCATGTGCAGCCTGGAGGCAGCTATGACTGTTCAAGTACTGGGATCCCTGCCATCCATGTCGGAGACACAAATGCAGTTCTGGGCTCCGGGCTTAGGCCTAGCCCAGCCTGGGCTGTAGCAAGCATCTGGGGAGTAAAGAAGTGGATGAAAGAACTCAACTCTGTCAACTTGTCTGTATCTCTCAAATAAATAAAATAAACATAAAAAAGAAGACAAGTTTCTGAGTTGGGGTGGAAACTCCTGCATTTGCTGCTGTTTGAGATGATCTGTGGAGGAAGCCGGCAGCATTAACAGACTCCACGCAGCAGCTAAAAGTCAGACAGCAATGGGGGTGGGGCAACCAGAAAACACTTCCTATCAGTGGCTCAGAAACAGGTGTCACTAGGGCATCCCTGTCCCCTTTGCACCCAGCACTATCCCCAACTGGCAACAACCAATGACCAGGGATCGAGGCCAGAGGCAGGGTTGAGTGAATAGGAGTTCCTGGTCACCACAGATACCAAAGAGACACAAAGAGTGGGATCCCAAAACTTAAAGTAGCTACCACTGCACACTGCACAGAATATTTAAATATCACATTCAAAAAAGTAATATTTTAGATGAAGTGTATAAAAACAAAATATACGAGTACTTTATAGTAAAAAATATATATATTTATACCAGTATGTACGGGGGCCTTCAAAAAGTTGATGCATATTGAGAAAAAAATTTTTAAAAGATTTATTTATTTGAGAGTTGGAGTTATACAGAGAGAGAAGGAGAGGCAGAGATAAAGAGAGGTCTTCCATCCACTGGTTCACTCTCCAAACGGCTGCAATAGGTGGATGTCAATCCAAACCCAGGAGCCAAGAGCTTCCTCTGGCTCTTCCTAAGTGGGTGCAGAGGCCCAAGGACTTGGGCCATCTTCTGCTGCTTTCCCAGGCCACAGCAGAGAGCTGGATTGGAAGTGCAACAGTCAGGACTCGAACCGGTGCCCATATGGGATGCTGGCACTGCAGGCGGCGGCTTTACCCACTATGCCACAGTGCCGGCCCCTATGAAAAAGTTAAGCATAGATTTCAAAACTTTTGTACTAGGGGTCAGAGCTGTGGCACAGTGTGTAAAGCTGCCACCTGTGGCTCCAGTATTCCATATGGGTGCCAATTCAAGTCTCAGCTGCTCCACTTCCGATCCAGCTCCCTGTTAATGGCCTGGGAAAACAGCTAAAGATGGTCCAAGTAAGTGCTTGGGCCCCTGCTTCCGTGCGGGAGACCAGATGAGGCTCCCTGGCTCCTGGCACCTGACTTTAACCTGGCCCAGCTCTGGCAGTTGCGGACATCTGGTGGGGGTAGTGAAGCAGCGGATAGAAGATCTCTCTCTGTCTATCTCTTTCTGCGTGTTTAACTCTGACTCTCAATTAAATTAACCTTTAAAAATTTTTTTGCATTAAAACTTAATTTTAAAATATTTAAATTTTAACTTATTCACTTCAGTGGCAGGAATAGGGAGGGAGAGAAGGAGAGAGCGAAAGGAAGAAAGGGGGAGGGGGAGGAGAAAATGGAGAGAGGGGCAGAGGGGGAAAGAGAAAGCACTTAAGCTGTCATCCAATGGCTACTTCCCAAACATCCACAAGAGCTGGGTTCCTGTCAAAGCCAGAAGCCAGAAACTCAATCAAGGTTTTCCACATGGGTGGCAGGGACCCAAGAACTTCAGCCTTCATCACTGTCTCCCAGGATGCATATTAGCAGGAAGTTGGAATTGGACTAAAACCTGGGCACACTCTGCTATGGATCACAGGCATCTTAACCACTTAAATGCCCAGCCCTAAACTTACATGAAAAATTTTATCATTCCATCAACTTTTCTTTTTATAAATTTTGATTCAAATCAGGGTAAATTCTCTTTTTTTAAATTTTCATTTACCTAAAAGACAAAGAGAGGCCAGTGCTGTGGTGCAGCCACAGCCTGCAGCACCAGCATGCCACACAAGCACCAGTTCAAGTCCCAGCTGCTCCACTTCCAATCCAGCTCCCTGCTAATGCACCTAGGAAAACAGCAGAAGATGGCCCAAGCACTAGGGCCCCTGCATCCACATGGGAGACCCAGAAGCTCCTGGCTCCTGGATCTGGATCATCCCAGCTCTGGCCACCATGGCCATCTGGGGAGTGAAGCAGCAGTGGATGGAAGATCTCTCCCTCCCTCCCTTTCTCTAAATAAAAAAATAAATACATCTTTAAAAAAAAAAAAAAAAAAGGCAAAGAGACAGACAAGGCGATCTCTCATCTCTGGCTCACTCCTCAAATGCCTACAATAGTCTGTGGTGGCCAGGCCAAAGCCAGGAGCCAGAAACTGAATCCAGGTTTCCCAAGTGAGTGGCAAGGACCCAAGTACTTGTATCATCACTGCTGTCTCCCAGGGCGTGCGCCCATAAACAGGAAGCCGGAATTGGAAGCAGAGCCAGGATTCAAACCCAGGCACTCAGAGATGGGATGCAAGCATCACAGGAAGCAGGTAACTGCTGCACCAAACACCTGCCCCATCGATGAACTTTTCTATATAGGTATATAAAAATATTACATAAAAATGTGTTCGAATGTTACATGATCACACATACTCAAAAACACGTAGTTTTATATCCCCACAGAATACGTGTCTAATCTATACGTATCGTATTTACGACTGAAGTATATTTGTAAGTTCTTCCATTTAGCAGCATGACCCAAAGCCAGATAAACATCACTAGCTCCTTCCCCCGGGGCAGCCCTCACCTCAATGCTCTGCAGCTGGGCGGCCACACGCTCCTTCTCCTTGATGGACCTGTGCTGCGTGTCTGCCAGCCGGTGGGACAAGGATACGTTCTCAAGTTTCAGGTGCTCCAGGAGGCCTGCCTGGGTCATCTGTCCGACCTTCAAGGAAAGCATGCGCAAGGTGAAAGCCTACTCACTCTCATGCCAGAGGTGCAGACCAGCCCATGCCCAGGCTACCAGGGTGAGGGTCTTGGCCTAGTGACAGCTACTAGCTGCTCCTCTCAGCACTGCCCAAGGCAGGGACAACCCTGCCTGCCTCGCAACTTCCCAGGACTCACTCACACAAGCCTTGTACTCCACTGCAGGTCAGATGACCTGGGTTCTATGAGTATCGGAGAAGGCGGCTAGTGGCCCTGAAACCAGTGGTCGCCACACCTGACACTGCAATCTGTGAAGGGGTCCACACACAAGCCCCCAGTGAAGGTGTACCTCTGAATCCCACAGGTGAAGACCTTATCTGAACTGACCCAAGTCTAGCAGAAATGCATCAGGCCCACCCAACAAATAGTCACAGACAGCCCTGACCAGAAGCTGTCTGCTTGGGACAAAGTAAGAACTCAAAAGCGTGATGGTAGATGGGTCTGTGGCTGACCCTCTAGGTCCAGTGAACGTCCCCAGACTGGCAAGATGCCCACATGTGACAGAGCTGTGGGCTTTGGGTCAGGGTCGGGACTGTTTCAAGACAAGTGAAAAATAAACGTTACCTTGTATGCTCCTTCCTTTTGAAATCTGGGTATAGGAAACATGCTACAATCTATAATGAACAAATGTAGAATCTGGCTCCCTAAGGTACTGGAAAAAAGCAGCTGAGGTTCTCCAATTGCACTCACTGACTCTTCCTCTACTCTTACGCTCCCAAGTATACTTCTGACTCATGTCAGGATCCAACATCTGGCTTCCTCTTTTACACACTTTATGCTCCATATAACTAACTACACTCCACTTAGCTTAAAAAGCATGTAATTTGTGTAATGATTTATTTCCAAGTATGTAATGATTTATTTCCAAGTATATTTTAAGTAGGACAGACGCTTTCCTGTTTGGTCCTTTCACTTTTAAAGTATGTAACATAAATTTAAGAAAATATCTATTTTGTATACTTGTAAATTCCAGACACAAAAGAAAGGTAACATCTGGTGGAATTAATATTTTACATCCTGTACCTGAGTTTTCATAAACCCACATGGTCTGATCTGGGAAAGCCCACAGCTGAATTCTCAAAAGGTTGTGACCAAGGGGCTCTTTAGCATCCTCATCCCCCTGTGCTTCGGGGCTAAGATCCGCAGCAGCAACTCGCCTACCCTCCCCAAGTGTCTCCAAAGCACACGAAGAGGCTGCTGCGGCACAGGGACCAGCACAGACACCACGCTCCTTCTGTTCCAGACACACAGATGACACAGCTCCCACCCATGCGAAATCAGAAGTTGACATCGTCTGTGCAGCCACTAACAAAATGGACAAGGCAGCAAGGAGAATGTTTCCCACACGTCGTCGGGAACAAGAGTCCGCACTGGAAAGATCTGGTCACTGTGTGTTACTCAGAGTCCAAACAGCCACAGAAAGTGACCATTCCCTGCTGAAAGAGAACGTCTGCTCCAGGCTGTCAGCTCCAGAACAGGGAGAGCAGCAGGAGAGTCCTGAGGCCCACGCAGATGTGGGCCTGAGGATCAAGGCCAAACAACGCAAGTCACCCCGAGAGAAGAATGGGACCTATTAAACACCATCCCCTCCACAGAATTAAAAATGCTTAAGCAGAAGGGACGGCCTTGGAGAGAGGCTCCCACAAAGGGCAGCATGGAATACATGGATGGTTAGCAGATTTTAAATAAACAGCATCTGTGATATCTAAAAACAGAAAAGTCTTTTTAATTTAGCAAAACAGCATTGTTCTACATGGAAATGTGAGGATATGGGGTCACCTGCCTGTGTCTCCCCTGAAAGGGGCCTTGCCACATACCTGGATGTGGGCCATCTCGCCCTGCAGCCTGACCCGGGCCTCCTGAGCCAGGGCAAGCTGTTGCTGGTACCACTGCCGGACATTCTGCAGAGATGAGATTTCAGCCTGTGAAGCCTTGAGCTTGCTGGTCAGGGTTGTGCGTTCCAGCTGCACTTGCTGGAGCTGGCTCTGCAGGGCCGTCATCTGCTGTCGTAGGTCATGCACTGCAAGTGAGCAAGCACAGGCAGCTCAGACCAACAACCATCAATGGGAGAGTCACAGCTCTGTAAGGACGTCTGACAAAAAGTCTCTGCAGAGAGCAAGCAACACAGTTGTTTCTGGTGGTTCTCAGCGGTCAGACTTCAGGAAGTCACCGTGAACACTGAGTACTGAACCACTGCTCCTGGGAAACATGGAGCTAGGCTCCTGGAAGCCTCTGGTCCCCTTTCCATCAACTAACAAACACATAACCTTCATTTATGTGCAGTTCTGTTCAAAGGCACCTTATTTAATAGATATGGTTTATTCATTAACACTGAGTTTGCTGCTGGCCACTAACTCAGCCAGCATGTCTGAATGAAGCTTCTCTAACAAATGTGTCTTCTGACACACAGGACCTGCCTCCTTGCTCTTGAGAACACCAGAGTTGTGAGCCACTTTCAATAGCAAAACCACCAAAGAAGACACAAAAACACACCACAAAAAGAACACCTGTTCACAGTCTGAGCTGCATGTCCAGTCTCAGCTGGAACAGGGCATCAGCTCAATTTTTTTGCCACTCTGCCCATGAAGTACCTTGAGTGCTGATTGTGGATCTACAAATAAATCAAAGTAGGCAAAATCAATGGAATCTATGATGCTGAGAATTAACTGAGCACCCATAAAATTGATGTGGACACTGTGGCTGTTGCCGTCCATCAGCCAACAACACACTTGGTTAACTCTACACGGATAAACCATGGTTTGCACATGATCAACTCTCAGCATTAAGAAGGGGAAAGTGGGAGGTCAGAAAGAAAGGACAAAGCCACAGACACCCAGATAACAGTACAGATAAAATCAGTCACATAGTTTTAAATGTAAATTGCTGGCCGGCGCCGTGGCTCACTAGGCTAATCCTCCGCCTAGCGGCGCCAGCACACCGGGTTCTAGTCCCGGTCGGGGCGCCGGATTCTGTCCCGGTTGCCCCTCTTCCAGGCCAGCCCTCTGCTGTGGAGGATGGCCCAGGTGCTTGGGCCCTGCACCCCATGGGAGACCAGGAAAAGCACCTGGCTCCTGGCTCCTGCCATCGGATCAGCGCGGTGCGCCGGCCGCAGCGCGCCGGCCGCGGCGGCCATTGGAGGGTGAACCAACGGCAAAAGGAAGACCTTTCTCTCTGTCTCTCTCTCTCACTGTCCACTCTGCCTGTCAAAAAAAAAAAAGTAAATTGCACCCAATATTTAAGAAAACATTTACCATTCTAAAGACGTTTTTCAGAAACTTTAAATAGAAAAGACTGAACAGGATGTCTGAGAGGCCATGGCCGGCGCGTCTCAAGTGCTCTGTGCTGGAAGTGATGTTCCAGAGGTGAAGCAGCACCCTCTCGTTGCTCTGCTCCATTCCGACTCCAGCATGGAGCAGACACTGGCCCTCGGCTGTGCTCAGCACTGAGCAGCCCCATGGAAATCAAGGACAGTGTCGCTGTCTGCAGCCCTGCAGGTGAGCCTTGCAACCCCAGAGTTACGAAACTACTCTGGTGTTTGGAACTTTCTATATTTTACAATTTTTCATAAGGGACTGGATACTGTAAAATACTCAAAGATGGAAAAATTAATAGCACCGAGAGTCTATCAACTTCCTCAGCTGGTTCTTTCTCCTTTCCAGTTCTAGAACACAGGCTCTGCCAGCAGCTTGTCACTGCTGGCTTTCAGGTCGTCAGATCTGAAATCTGGTCTCACAGTGAGACTCGAGGTCATGGAGACTTTTCCCACGGTGGCCACACCACAGCCCTCCTAAGGCTCCTACATCTGGAGTTCTGGAGAGGAAAGCTTCACCTAAGCAGCATGAGCTGGCTCGATCCTATACCCCTTGGGGCTTTGATCCTTATCTCCCACCCCACTTCAGGCTGTCTTCCTAGTGCTAGTCCAACAGCATGTTCCAAACAGGCCGACCAGTCCTCTCAATGCCTGCTGGATGCCACAGTGTGGCCTCAGGGGCTGGCTCAGGAAGACAAGGAGGCCAAGAGTGCCTCAGGGAGAGCAGGCAGCCAGAGGAGAGGGAGAAGCAAGGAACCACATGCAGGCCACTCTCTAGGCAAGCCTTACAGGGAACTGACCAGACCACGTCACTAAACTTAAGAAACACAGAAAAAACAGCAGGTTGCTTCTGAATGTTTTAAATAATCGGTGATTCTATGGCAAGTAGGCAGCTCTACTGCCCCAGCTAACAATGGACTTCCACAGCAGGGTGCGTGGCAAGGATCGCTACTGACCATCAGGGATGCAAAGTCAGCTTCTTCTAGGACTTAATTTATCTCACTGAGTGCTCAGACAAAACTTACAGAATTCCATGACTCCAGAAAGTAGATACCTGTATGTCAATTACAAACCAATACAACTGTCCAAGTCACATGAGCATGATGGCACAGCAGTCACCACCCCCCCAACTTGTGGGGCAACCACACAGGGTCAACAGGAAGCAGACACCTGTGCCTCTCACCTGTGTTATCCTTGCTGAGGATGCTTTTCTGCATGTCCTCAACTTTGGCCATGAGTCTCTGGTACTGCTCCTCTGCCACCTGCAAGTCACTGTTAGAGGATGCCAGGCTGGCATTTTTGGCTTCCAGAGTGTTCTGCAGATCAGTCATGGCTCGCTCCAGATCCCAGCAGGACTGCTTCAAGGTATCCACTTCTGAGCTGAGTGAGTCCTGCTTCCGCTGGCTGCTGCGGCTGTGTTCCACCTGTGCCTGCAGCCGTGTGCTGAGGGCAGCCATCTGGGCCTGCAGCTCGGCCTTCTCTTTCAGCGCCTGAAAAGATCCCCAAACAACCACTCTTTCAGGAAAATGAGTCCCTTCCATTCAGTGTATTCACAAGACTGAGAAACCCTCCTGGTGAAATAAAGAAGAGTGCCTGGCAGGTGAGCCTGGTTTTTTTTTTTTTTTTAATTTATTTATTTGACAGATAGAATTAGACAGTGAGAAAGAAAGCCAGAGAGAAAGGTCTTCCTTTCGTTGGTTCACCCCGCAAATGGCCGCTACGGCCAGAGCTATACCGATCCGAAGCCAGGAGCCAGGTGATTCCTCCTGGTCTCCCATGCGGGTGCAGGGGCCCAAGCACTTGGGCCATTCTCCACTGCCTTCCAGGGCCACAGTAGAGAGCTGGACTGGAAGAGGAGCAACCGCGGCTAGAACCTGGTGCCCACATTGGATGCCAGTGCTGCAGGCAGAGGATTAACCAAGTGAGCCATGGCACCGGGCCCCATGAGCCTAGTATTGAAACACTATGTTCCCAAGCCACTCAGTTACTCCACCATGACAGTCACCCAGAAGAGGAGGACTGTCCCAACAGGTCCAAGGGGTAGGAGGAGACCGTGCTGCACCTGCACTGGAAGCACTTGTTCACTTGCAAGGACACACCCATGCACACACCAAGGAAAGACAACAGGTGGTGAGGGATCCGTAAAGATAAAAGATCTGAAGGAAAATGGACAGAAAATACCTGCAAGAAAAGCCTATTTTCAGACAGTATTTTATACTCTGTGTGTGTGTGTGGGTGCAACTCAGGATAGAGTTGGTCTTCTGTATATAAACTTAAAAATGAATTGTAATGAAGAATGGGATGGGAGAGGGAGTAGGAGGTGGACTGGGAGGGCGGGCATCGAGGGAAGAACTACTATATTCCTAAAGCTGTACCTATGAAAATCGTATTCATTAATAAAAGGTTTCTTCTTCTTCTTCTTTTTTTTTTTTTTTTTGACAGGCAGAGTGGACAGTGAGAGAGAGAGACAGAGAGAAAGGTCTTCCTTTGCCGTTGGTTCACCCTCCAATGGCCGCTGCGGCCGGCGCGCTGCGGCCGGCGCACCACGCTGATCCGATGGCAGGAGCCAGGAGCCAGGTGCTTTTCCTGGTCTCCCATGGGGTGCAGGGCCCAAGCACCTGGGCCATCCTCCACTGCACTCCCTAGCCACAGCAGAGGGCTGGCCTGGAAGAGGGGCAACCGGGACAGAATCCGGCGCCCCGACCGGGACTAGAACCCGGTGTGCCGGCGCCGCTAGGTGGAGGATTAGCCTAGTGAGCCTCGGCGCCGGCCTAATAAAAGGTTTCTTAAAAAAAAAAAAAGGAAAAAAGCCTGTTGTTACCTGAGAGGTTCTGGGAGGCTCCAGCCAGGGCCAATGGACAGGCCCAGGAGCAACCCGCTCCCCCTAGGATAAATCAGGGAAGGAGAGGAGAGGCCCCACGAGTGTGCAGAACAGCCATAATGGTGATGAGCCAAGGGCAGAACCCTCCCTCCACTGGAACATTCTGGCCATCCCGAAGTCTAAGGGGCAGGGAGGGTATGTGTGAGAACCCAACTCCACACATTCAGGGAAAACTAACATTACAGAGACAAACAACACATTCAACAAAGAACATCCAAAGAAACTGAGCTAACTGAGTAAGTGTAATTTATTTAAATGTCTGCAGACATGCCAGAAAGTTCCATGCCTGTAACCACACACTCAGACTGTGGTCTGCAGCACAGAGCACGGCGAGTGACCTCAGGAGGGTGAGCAGCTCAAGAGCAGGGACAGCAAGTAGCGGTCCTGACAGTCCCAGGGCCTGAGGACACAGGGTGACAATGCATCTGAACAAACAGTGGAAGCTGTGGACAACCAAATCCACTCTGTTGAAATCTCTTTAGCAGAGAGCTGTATGTACTGCACAGTGGTTGTCTGTGTCTCAGGACCGGACTCAATGGCAAAGTAAGTGGTCACAGAGAGCTCTTCTTACCTGAGTGGCTCTGCCTACGCCCATGACCTCTGCAGCACACAAACATCATGCTATGTGTACCTCCTTTCACTCTCGACAAAAGTACACAGCTCAGTTCCACTGAACACATTATCCTCAAACTCTTAATAAAAAATCTAGTCTCTGTCATCAATACAAGTGCATACAACAAAATAACAAAGAGAAGCTGAAAACTGTAAAATGATGCTTCAGGTAAATGCTAATAAGACACAGCAAAACTAATAATGGATGAAAAAGAACCCGATGCAGGAAGGAATATAGGGAAAGGCTGACCAGTGGTAGGAGAAATGAGTTCTAGAGTTCAAGTGCATGGTACAGTGTCCAGAGATGAAGATCACACACATTTCAAAACAGCGGGATGGGGGCCGGTGCTGTGGTGCAGTGGGTAAAGCCACCACCTGGAGTGCCGGCATCCCATATGGAATGTTGCACCGGCATGGAAGACCAGGAAGAAGCTCCTGACTCCTGGCTTCGGATCAGCACAGCTCCAGCCGTTGTGGCCATCTGGGGAGTGAACCAGTGGATGGATGACTCTCTCTCTGCCTCTCCTTCTCTCTTTGTGTAAATCTTTCAAATAAATAAATAAATCTTTAAAAAAATGAAATGGTGTCCATAAATATGCACAATTTTTATGTACTGAAGATTTACAAAAAATTTTATTGAAGAAAAGTAAAACCCACTGTAAGAAAGTATCAAAAGGATGAGGATGAAAACCTTACTATTCAAGACAAGGTACAATCTACCAAAAGAATTTATTTTTTACAGACTAGTGGGTACCTAACACTGGGCAGATCTGGATGGAGACACAGGGAAAACTGACACATGAACCATCAGAGCAGAGCAGGACACCTCTCCCTATACGGGTGCTGCTTTGAGTCCCAGCTATTCCACTTTAGACCCAGCTCCATGCTAATGTGCTTGGGAAGGCAGAGGACCTGCATTCATGTGGAAGACCCAGAAGAAGCTCCTGGCTCCTGGCTTCAGGTTGGCTCAGCTCCAGCCATTGTGGCCAATTGGGGAGTAAACCAGTGGATGGAAGATCTCTCTCCCTCTGTTTCTCCCTCTTTTTCTCTGTAACTCTACTTTTCAAATAAAGTAAATCTTAAAAAAAAGAAAAATAAGATTCATTTATTGATTTGAAAAGCAGAGAAATGGAAGAGGAGAGGAGAGAAGAGAGAGAAATTATCTTCCATCTGCTGATTCACTCCCCAAATGACCACAACAGCCAGGTTTGGGCCAGGCCATAAAGCAGGTGCCAGGAACCAGGAAATCCATCTGGGTCTCTTATGTGGGTGGCAGGGGCCCAAGTACTTGGGCTATCTTTCACTGTTTTCCCAGGCCATTAGCAGGGAGCTGGATCAGAAAGAGTCTTGGCACTCTGATATGGGATGCCAGCAGCGCAAGCAGTGGCTTAACTCACTGCACAATGTCATCCCAAGGACAACTCTCTTTGCGAGGCTGACAAACCAAGCAGACAAAACATGGAAGGATACAGAACTTTTGGCAAAGCCAGCATGGCTTATTCTTAATGACTGTGAACTTTACCCAACAAAGAGGAAATGCATATTCTTCTCAGACTTGGCACATTTAAACATCAATCAAATATCCATTACCTGACTAGCCTCCAACGATACAGCTTCCAGCTGTCCTTCAAGTCTCATTTTTTCTTTAAGAACCTGCAACATTTCATCCTGAGTCCCAGCAACAGAGCTTTCCACGGATATACTGGAGAACAAAGGCACAAAGATCAGGTGGTGGGAAAACAGGGTGAGCATCACTTTCCCTCTGTACTTCAGTGGAAGGCTAAAGCTTACGCCAGTGCCACCCACCACTGAACTGCTGCCAACGCAGCCAGCATCACCAGCCATCGCCCAGTCAGAGCAGTCTCCTGGGATGCAGCACACAGAAGTATTTGTGCAGACACTCACGGATGAGATCTATTTCTTTATTTCTTATGAAGCAACAGGGCTGTATATGGGCAAAACGCTGGTTAGGAAAGAAAAGCAACATTTCACAGCCAGGGTCCAGAGAGTAAGGGCTAAGGCCACGCCTCTGCCTGCCCACTGCCCCCACCTGCTGCAGATGCTGTCTCTTCGGCTCCGCACCTCCCCGTTGACATCCTGTCCCTGATCTTGGTGTTCAGCAGCAGCAGCCTGCAGTACATCCTTAATCGAGGGGAACTGGCCCAGGACATCTGCAGCAATCTCCTGTCCGTTGATCACATAGGAAGCTTCCTGTGTGCCCACTGGGCTCACCACAGCAGCACAGGTCCTGCGAGCAGAGGTGCTGCTGTATGAGGAGCTGTCACTCTCGTTCCCATCTGCCTCAGACACGCTGTCTCCTGTCAGGGAGGCGTTCTCCAGATGGTCGTCAGTCTCAGGAGCCAAGCTGATCTCAGACACAAGGGCCATTGCGCTGCTTCTGCTTGGCCTCAGGGAGGCCCTGGTAGAGTCACTGGCAGGGACACTACCACCAGGACCCCCAGCACCTGAGTCTTCAGTTCTGTAATCAGCCAGAGATCGTATTTTGCTTGATTTTGAACCTTTCTTCTCCTTAGGGTGTGCCAGGAGCCCTAAACTGCCTACTTTTGGCCCCCGAGGGACACTGGTGCGTAGGAATGAATATTCTTTTGTCATAGCCAGGGTACTGGCCCTTGGTAAGTTTTCTGGGTTTAACATGAGCTCAGGATCAAGTGTGCTAAAAAGTCTCATTTTTGTTGGTTGATTGGACTGAAAAGGAAACAAAAATAAAAAAATTATTTAAAATAGAATTTAAAATTAACAAGCAGCATCCTCAAACCATTCTTTAGACAGACTGATGAACACAGCGTATCTATCTCCAGATGGCAGCTCAACCTCTTACGTAACAACGCTGGCCCCAGATAAAATTCTTCACACAGATTAGACATACAAGTTTCTAAAATGGAAAAAAAAATCTTAAATTTTTTTTTTTTTTTTTTTTGGACAGGCAGAGTGGACAGTGAGAGAGAGAGAGAGAGAGAGAGAGAGAAAGGTCTTCCTTTGCCTTTGGTTCACCCTCCAATGCCCGGCGCACCGCGCTGATCCGAAGCCAGGAGCCAGGTGATTTTTCCTGGTCTCCCATGGGGTGCAGGGCCCAAGCACTTGGACCATCCTCCACTGCACTCCCTGGCCACAGCAGAGAGCTGGCCTGGAAGAGGGGCACCCGGGACAGAATCCAGCGCCCTGACCGGGACTAGAACCCGGTGTGCCGGCACCGCAGGTGGAGGATTAGCCTATTGAGCCGCAGCGCCAGCCCCCTTAAATTTCCACATTTGGAATTTTACATTTAACTCCTGATAATCAGGCTGGACCTGGGAAGTGCAGTGCAGGCTCTGCAGGATGAGTCCTGCAGTGGATACCACCTGACTTACCACATGGCCACTGAGTCATCTCTGGCAAGTTCTTGACCACTGATGCTCAGTTTACTCTTCTTTTTTTGTTTTTTCTTTTTTTTTTTTTAAGATTTATTTATTTATTTGAAAGTCAGAATTACATAAAGAGGAGAGGCAGAGAGAGGTCTTCCATCTACTGATTCACTCCCTAGATGGCCGCAAATGGCTGGAGCTGTGCCGATCCAAAGTCAGGAGACCAGAGCCAGGAGCTTTTTCCGGGTCTCCCATGTGGGTACAGGGCCCAAGGACTTAGGCCATCTTCTACTGCTTTCCCAGGCCATAGCAGAGAGCTGGATTGGAAGTGGAGCATCCGGGACTTGAACCAGCGCCCATATGGGATGCCGGTGCTTCAGGCCAGGGGGTTAACCCACCGCACCACAGCACTGGCCCCCAGTTTACTCTTCTGAAGTGTCACTTGCTTCCCCTCGTTGTTGCAACGTTTGTATTAGATGAAGTTGTAGGAAACGCATGGTAACGCCTCACACAGAATAACTGCTGATTATCTACTAACATTCTGATTGTTTCAGCAAGCCCCAGTCTCCCTGACCACGCGTGAGGCCGTCCTCTGCTCAGGGCCTTGAAGCCTGCTCCCTGTTCATTAGGTACAGAGCATAAACACCTTCAAAGCAACACCTTCCTCCTGGGAAAAAGAATGGCTAACCCTTGGGGCCGGCACTGTGGTGCCGTAGGTTAATCCTCTGCCTGCGATGCGGGCCTCCCATATGGGCGCCGGTTCTAGTCCCAGCTGCCCGTCTACCAATTCAGCTCTCTGCAGCAGAAGATGGCCCAAGTGCTTGGGCCCCTGCACCCACATAGGAGACCGGGAAGAAACACCTGGCTCCTGGCTTTGGATCAGAGCAGCTTTGGCCATTGTGGCCATCTGGGGAGTGAACCAATGGAAGGAAGACCTTTCTCTCTGTCTCTCCCTCTCACTGTCTGTAACTCTACCTCTCAAATAAATAAAAAAAAAAAAAGAAAAGAAAAGAAAAAGAATGACCCCTAATGGAGACCACCACTGCTAACTCTCTCATGACAGCCCTTTTTAAAAGTTAGCTTGCTTGGGGCAGCACATAGGTTAATCCTCCACCTGCAGCACTGGCATCCCATATGGGCGCCGGTTCTAGTCCGAGCTTCTCCTCTTCCATCCAGCTCTCTGCTATGGCCTGGGAAAGCAGAAGATGGCCCGAGTCCTTGGTTCACTGCACCCACATGGGAGACCCGGAAAAAGCTCCTGGCTCCTGGCTTCGGATTGGCACAGCTCCGGCCACGGCAGCCATTTGGGGAGTGAACCAGTGGATGAAAGATATCTATCTATCTATCTATCTATCTATCTATCTATCTATCTATCTCTTTCTCTCCCCCCCCACCCCATTGTCTGTAACTCTACCTCTCAAATAAATAAAAATCTTAAAAAAAAAAGTTAGCTTGCCTTTAATGTTAATCTAATTTGAAAATCTTCAAATCCTAGAAGAACTGTGAATGAACAGTCTTCATATACATACTTCTTGCCTTTTAATCACTCACATGATTAAAAAGACTTCTTTAATGACCATTGTAACAAGAGTTTTACATCTAAACAAAGTATACTGTATGGATGAGTCAAGTAAGTGTGACAGAGCACACATCACCAACGTGACAATGGCAAAGCTTTACCAGAATGTGTCGCTTACGAAAATACGCTGGAAGACTGGTGGCAAGGGTAGGTAAGTACTTACTTTCCTTGCCTTTCTAATGGTAGACTTAAGTATAAAATGGGCTTGTTCCAAAGGAAGTAGGACAGACAGGGCAGGAGTCAGTCTCCTGCTGAACGTTCAAGGTGTGGGTACACAGGAGGGAGGTTGCCTGACGACAGACTCTCTCAGGAAGCTTTCTCAGAGCACTCAGGAGGGGCACTCACGCGCTCCTGCTGGCGTTTCACTCTGTACTGCTGGAGCTGCTCTTCCAGGCGCTTGCGAGCCTCACGTCGGACTTGCTCTTCCTCCTCCAAGGGCGGTGAAGACTCCACAGAGCCTGCAGTGGGGAAATGTCCATTAGAAAGTCACAAAGTAGCAGGGCACGAAGACCAAATCGGGAACAAGCGCTCGGTCGTCCTGCACTTATTTCATGTTTTAGCAAACAACTCATAGCCATCTAGTTTGAGGACAATTTCCAGATGGAGAGAAAACTGTGAGTCCAGGCCACTGACCAGAGAGGTCAACCTTGCAGGAGATACATTGCCAAAATACGGATGTCTGTTCATGCAAGAGTATACAACCCACTACGGGTATTCAGCTACAAGGACTGGAAATGGGTAGCAAGTGCTTTCTAATAACAAAAAGAATGGAATTTAAAGGAACCCTCAAATCTCAGCACGCTCTAACTCTGCTTCCTGGCCTTACAGAAGATGCTCATGACCTCGCCACCAGGAGCATACAAAAGCAGTTACGATGGAATTACACTTGGGGAGGACTGTCCTGTGTTCATGTGATAGCAACATGAAGTGTTTCATGTATAGTTACTCTGGGGCTAAGAATTGGCCCAAAGCTCATCTCATTTCCTACAGGAAGGAGTCATTTTATAGGGGTGGGTGTTTGGTACAGCAGGCTAAGCTGGTGCTTGGGACACTCACATCCCATTGGTCAGAGAGCCTGGTTCAAGTCACAGCTACTCTGCTTCTAACCTTGCTTTCCACTAATGAGCTTCCTGAGAAGCAGCAGGTGATGGCTCAAATACTTGGGTTCCTGTCACCCACGTAGAAGATCTAGACAGAATTCTCAGCTAACTTCAGCCTGACCCAGCCCTGGTTGTTGAGGTCATTTGAGGACTGGACCTATGGATAGCAACATTCCATCTGTCTCTCTCTTGCTCTTTGCCTTTGAAATAAAATGCAAATAAACGTTAGGGGAAAAAAGTCATGTTATAATACTAAGGTTTTATAAAACCAAGAGTTCTACAAGCTGGCAATACCCATCCATTATTTACTCAAGGATCAAAACCACTGCATGGCCTGACTTCAGGACTCACTGCAGAGGAGCAGCTAAGCAGGAATCTGCGCACGAGAGCCAAGGCTGGCTATGTCCCTTTCCTAACAGATGAGATGCCAGTTCTGGACTCATGCTCAAGGACAGGAAGGGGAACGAATAACATTTTAGCCAAAACCAGAATTTAAAACATCTAAAACCCAAACTTTTTATTTTGGATAATTAAAGGGTTGAATATTGAATGTAAAGAAATGGCAATTACAAACCTAGGACACCCACATCCTGCGTGTGGCAAATCCTTCTTTAATACATCAGCAGACATACCTGCCAGACACCACCAGACGGCCTAGACACTGACCAAAGTAGATACATGAAATAATCTCACAGATTTTCATACACGGCACCCTCTTTAGACATGGATTCTGAGGAGGGAAACAATTATTGTTTTAAATAATCCCAAAAACCGTGGCAGTCACCAAGAAGTTCACTAGGAATTCACCATGATCGTTACTAATCCATGCACTTTATCACTGAAAAGATCTCTAGACCCTTACGCAAAGCTAAGTGGTCCAGGTAGCTTGACCTTCTGAGCAGTAAACTCAGGGACTTGTGACCATCTGGCGGGTAACTCAAATCAACAGAATGGGTGGATTTCAGTTACAAGACACTGCAGCTGGACGACAAGCTGCACGAAACACACAGCCTCAGGTCCGGGGATGGCAGCAGAGTATGATGCAAGAAGCCATGCAGGAGGTGGATACTCCCAGGACAGGGCAGCGTGCGGGTGCTGCTTCAGGAGCTCACCGACTTGCAGGATCATGAGACCAGACTTTCCCATGATATCTCGTGACTTATATGTCAGTAATTAATTTTCAGAAATGTTTAAAAACACATTGTAGGGGCAGGGTGCTGTGGTGTAGTGAGCTGCCACTCAAGAAGCCCACATCCCCCATCAGAGTGCTGGTGTGAGTCCCTCAACATTAACTTCCAATTCAGCTTCTTGCTAATGCACCCTGGGGCAGCAGATGATGGCTCAGGTATTTGGGCCCCTGCCACCCACATGGAGACCTGGACAGAGTGCTGGGCTCCTGACTTCGGCCTGGCCCAGCCTTGCCTGTTGCAGGCATCTGAGAAGTGAATCAGCAGATGAAGGCTCTCTCTGATTTCTCTCTTTCTCTCACTGAGGCTCTGCCTTTCAAGTACATGAAAAAAACAAACATTAAAAACAAAACACATTACAGCCCAAGCAAAATTAAGCCTGAAAGAAAAAGGCAAATAAACCAAAAGAAAAGTATGCAAACTTCTGAAGAGAACAATGCTAAAATGGTCAAAAAATCAAATACAAAGGTGCTCAGAACCTTTGGTCATCACAGTATCAAAACTGAAGAGACAGTTTCTACATGCTGGAAGGATGGGAAAAAATAGTTGGGGGTGGGAGGCCAGGGAGGGACACACCAGGATTTTCAAGGTGGCACTGGTCACTCAGGCCAAGGAGTACAAACAGCAGATAACAGATGGCCGCAGAGCTGGCCCCGCCCTACCAGAGGATATACTCAGTCTTGAGAGAATGAATTCAGAACTGTACCAGGCAATGGGCACAATTCTCCATGTGACTAGACTAAGTGTGAAAAACACACAACCACATGAGCAATAAAAACAATAACCAAATCCTTGGCTATGTTTGATGGAGGCCTGCAAAGGCTTTTGTGAGAATATGGCCCGTCAAAGGGTAGGAACCAGGGACTGAAGCGGGAGTTGGGGGCGAAAAGAACATGTGTGATATGACATGAAAAACAGAGTTTGAAAAAGGTCTCAAGGTTTCTGGGGCTTACAGGCTGCCAGTCTGCCAGTTATTCACCCCTAAATCACAGACATCAGCAAAAAATAAATGCTGACTAAAACAATTCATAAAAGAAAGCCTCTGCTGCAACTGCACAGCTGAAAGACTGACATCCACTGCTGCCTACCTACCATCTTGGGATCAAAGGACCTCAACACTGGGAACCTTAGCACCACCATCAACACCAGAGATCAGGAACGTTTCAATACCCAAGTGTATCTGCACTCTTGTTGGAAGCAAGGCCCACCACAGTAGGAAGATGGCAGAGGGCCAAGACTGCTCAGAGTAGGTGGTCAGGGCATGTACCCTGAGGGCCTGATGACCCTGGCGGGCAGAGGGAGGGAAGGGCCACGGGAACAGATGCTTACACAGTTGCGTTTCTTGCATAGGAAGACTGAGTCTGAGAGACTGCAAAGCTTCTTTTCTAACACTGCCCTCAGCACTAGTTCCCTGAGACTTCCTTAGGTTGTCATGGAAACCAGCCACACCTGGAGGGGCATCAGGACCCACTGGGCTTGTGGTGGGGTCGAGAGGCAATGGAGGGTCTGATAACTGCAGTGCTGGCCCGTTCTGACAAAGGCCATCTTGGCCAAGTCCATGCAGGCTTCCTTCTCCACTGGAAGCTCTGTTTACTTCGACAGTGACACCTGGAAAGAGAGCACACAGCATGGTTTTAACAGTAAGAACACATCATTCTCAGACGTGCAGCTAAAGCAGAACTGTAGAGAACCCAGATCCATGAGCTTGAGCATTTCCACATCCCAAAAATCTATTCACTACAACAACACGTCCCACACTCTCTTCCCGAGAGCAGGGAGATCAGACATGATCACACAACTTCCCAGCCTGTCTTATCCTATAATGTTTCTTTTTCATTTAAATAAGACCAGTAAGAAATCATATAAAAGTCTATTTCTTTAAAACAGGAAAAAAAAAAAAAAAAGAAAGAAAAAAGCTTCAAACATAGCTGACATGTGGCACAGTGCTGGTTTGAGTTCCAGGTACTCTGCTTCTGATCCAGCTTTCTGATAATGCCTCCTGGGAGCCACCAGATGACTCAAGTACTTGGGTCCCTGCCACCCAAGTGGGGAGACCCAGATGGAGTTTCCCAGCTCTTAACTCGGACCTGGCCCAGGCCCAGCTATTGTGGGCATTTCGGGAGTGAACCTTCAAACGGGGGAGACAAATCTCTGATACTCTGACTTTCAAGTAGATGAAAATAAACATTTAAAACAAAACATATCTGACAATTTTCCTAACACGCTTTGCTGACAGAGTCACACCTCATATTTATAAGAGCTGATTCCAAAGTCATTTTAAAGACCAAGTTTATCCTCTGTAATGAGAAATCCAAGGCAAACAGGTAGATTAGGTGATCAGAATGATCCTGGCAAAGGTGAGTCCAGAGCTCAGAACTGTGCCCCTTCCTGAAGGCCATCTGTCAGGTAAACGTCAAGTTTAACCACAGACCGCTCTCTCTACTCACATATTAGACCGCTCTCTCTACTCACATATTAAACTGAGTCGCTCCTGCTAACATGATGATGCACAGAAGGATTCATTCACCAACAAAAGATAGCTCCTTGTCAAAAGAGGAAAAGGAAGACAGACTTCACAACCAAAGGAACTTTGGTCTTTTCCTTCCTTCCAACTGCTTGAGAAAGGGTGAGACGACCAACAGCCAGAGAACCCAGATGGTGTGAGGGCAGATTCTGAAGGGTTCCATGCCTGACCTCGCAGGGATTCAGTATCACCTGGCTGCAGAAGTACTCAGTATGCATCCTAGGAATCCCCTATCTGCCCAATTAAAATTGGATTTCTGTCACTTGCAACTGTAAATCCTAGCTAATACAGCTACTGAATGTCCTGCTTCCCTGAAAGGAAAAACCAAAATATCAACAGGAGTACCCCAAACAGGAAGCAGAGTCAGGGGAGCCCACCAATACCCTGAGACAACTGTGTGCTCCTAAACAGACAGCCCCACTTCGGTTCCACGATGGTTGGGGCAATGGTGTAGGCACATTTTAGACACAGTGCAGGGGTCAGTTTCACCTTCTGACAGACAGATCTGAGAGCTTCCAATCCTTCCTGTCTGCCTCAGTTTGAACACGGTCCATGTCCCAAGCAAAAGCAAAGACTTCTATCAGTGACAGTAAGCAAGAGGGCAGAAACCGAATCTCACCGTGGCGCTGAGGCAGAGCCCCTAGGATTGAGTCCTGCTGGCTTTTGTAGACAGGTACACATGCTCCTGCCACAATGCAACACGACAAAGGGGTGCCCTCATCAGAGACTGTGTCACGCTGCTGTGACTCTGAGTCTCCAAAACTGTGAGGCAAGATAAACCTCTTTTCTTAATACAGTAGTCTGCTTCAGAAATCTCTTTACAGTAATGAAAAGTGCCTAACACAGCATCACACTGCACTTATAAAAAAATCTAGAAGTCAAAAGATTCAATAGACAATGAGACTTGACTGTTTCCAAACACAATCCTAATGATAAATAAACACGATGAGGGTGACAAGTGGACAAAAACAGCCACAATTACTTCTTGGATGTTACTGAGTACTTGGAATTCCACGAGCACCACTTCTTTAAACCCCCACAACTGCCCTCTGACATAGGTACCAGTAATCTTCTGTCTGATATCAGAAGAAACTGAAGCTAAAATAAATTAAGCGTTTCTCTCAAAGGCATATCACTCGTGAGCGGCAGATCTAAGAGTTAGTTTCCTGCCTGTCTGAGGTGTCTCCGTCCTAGGCGTGAGTGCTGTTACCAGCGTCAGCTGGCATTTACCACCATTAGTAAGACCATCCTAAGTGCTGGAACCTCATTTTCCGAGAGTCAGATTGCAGAGGAAGGCCTTTGCTTAGCATCAGGCCAGCAGTTAGGAAGCCCATGTCACACACCACAGTGCCTGGGGTCCATATTCAGCTTCGCGCTAATGCAGTGACGGCTTAGGTGACTGGGTTCCTGCTCCTGGGTGGGAGACCGAGAGTGAGTCCTCTGCTTCAAGCCCAACTAGAGTTTGACGGATGCCAACATCTGAGGAGCGAACCAGCAGGTGGGAGCTCTCTCTCTCATTATCTGTCTCATTCTTGCTGTCTCTCGAATAAAAACTTTCTAAAAGGAATTAAATTACAAGTTCTGCTAGTACATCAGTGCATACCTGCTCTGTAATTTTTAAGCACATACTGTGCTGGTATCTCCTGACCAGGCAGGGGAGTGAGAACTGAGCGAATAATTCACCCTTTCCTTCTGACGCAGGAAGAGTTCAGCAGCTAAAATTAAAACGTGACTCAACAATCTTTAGATTTCTGTTGGACTATTTCTGAATTCCAGTTATTGAAACTTTGGCAACCAACCAGACAGAAAGGCAGAATTTCAGACATGGAATAATAACATGTCAGCAAAAACCCACAGACGCCTTCAGGGAAAACCACACCGCCCCAGTCCAGCTGGTGCACAAAACCAGGTAACTCCTACTACTCTGTTCAGTACGAGCACGACGTGAAGTTAGCACCAACCAAGAAAAAATACTCAATCGATTACTACAACACAGTCTGAATGAATGAAATTCTCAGGTCTCAACACCACAGTACTCCCCCAAAACACAAGTTCATCGTGTCCTCCTGTTAAATGTTAGCAGCACACAGACCAAGCTGACTACTTACGTGGGGCTCTGTCCTGCTGGTCAAGCAGCTCTAGGGAGTCTGGCAGCTTCAAGGGGCCCTTGGCACAAGCTGAAGTGTCACTGCTGGATCTGACCTCCAAGAGGCCATCCTGGCCAGCTGACATCCCATCCATGGTCAGGAAAACACAGGCTGAGCCAATCTGGGGGGTCACAAGTGAACTGCAGGAAAATTCAGTTTCTGCCATCAGCAGCAGCTCAGAGCTCCAGGTAAGAACCTCATTCTGCTTTTCATTTTCAGGTTAAGATTTAGAGTCTCACAAAAGGCTTGACGTTAAACCAAGGAATATCATGATGCCTGAAAGGAGGGAAAGAAAAAAATGTATCAGAAACTGTTTTTCAGATTTCAAGTCACAATTACAAAATTAACATTTGGTTTCTAATTTGCATTTGTATCACCATAGGAAGCAAATATAGATATACATTTTTGAGAAATAACTCTAGTACAATATCCTAGGTTTTGGGGATAAAACCCTGAGCTCCTGAGGGTGCTCGGTGCCTACATCAGTGCTGGCTGAAGGACACGCTCCCTCAGGTTGCCAGGAATTTCTGTAGTCCATGGTGCAGCTGTCAGCCATCATCTACAGCAACTGAAAAACTGAGTTTTAAATTTCATTTGGGCCGGCACCGCAGCTCACTAGGCTAATCCTTCGCCTTGCGGCGTCAGCACACCGGGTTCTAGTCCCAGTCGGGGCGCTGGATTCTGTCCCGGTTGCCCCTCTTCCAGGCCAGCTCTCTGCTGTGGCCTGGGAGTGCAGTGGAGGATGGCCCAAGTGCTTGGGCCCTGCACCCCATGGGAGACCAGGAGAAGTACCTGGCTCCTGCCATTGGATCAGCGCGGTGCGCTGGCTGCAGCGCGCCGGCCGCGGCGGCCAATGAGGGTGAACCAACGGCAAAGGAACTTTTCTGTCTCTCTCTCTCACTGTCCACTCTGCCTGTCCAAAAAAAAAAAAAAAAAAAATTTCATTTACACTTCATTAAGTTGAACTTAAAAAGTTACCTGTGTGGCTTCGGTATCACCCAGGCCTACGTGCCCACAGGCAAGCTCCCTGCCTAGAACACCAGGAGTGACTGCACCCCAGTCTTGCCTGGCACCTCCTCCCCCGCAAGCTGGACAGCTCTGGTCCACAAGGGCAAAAGTTTAAGAAGCAGTTGCCATGGTTCCTGGTGACTGTACATTCTATGAGGGGAATTAGGCAGGCACCTGGACACACAGCCGATGACCATTTCTATCTTTCTTTGTTACCAGGATTAGCTATCTTTTAACCCAACATGCTAGGTTAAATTTAAAGGAGAAGAATTTGCCCAGAGTTTGGCAATTTGTAGTCAACTTTGAAGTGTACTGATATTAACTTACTTCCTTATCAACAGAAAGAGAATATGAGTTTCTATTCATTCTGCAGAAATGCTGGCATTTACTTCTTTTACAGTAAGTTTCTTATTACCCTATGTTCTATTCTGGTTTTAACATATTTCTAACAAATTATCTAAATTTATTCTCCAGCTTACAAATCCCATACAGACTCAGACAAGCCCAAGTGGGTGGTCCTCACAAGGAGGCACGATACCAACTCAACAGCAGAGCGCATGCCAGTTATTCCAGGGCTGTCTATTCCGATCCTATCTGCCCTCATCACTGTCCACTTTGTGTAAGAGGGCACCTACTAGTGGTGAATATAATCCAGTTTACTGACACAGTAATGACCAGTATATAAATGGCCCTCTCTGTGGCATGATGGGTTACTTATTTGCTTGTAACCATAATAATACAGGTATTCCTCTTTGCTGCTTTGTATCATATAGTCAGTACATTAAGAGTTATTAAAAGTGCTGTTAAGACTATAAAAATGGGGGCTGGCGCTGTGGCTCACTTGGTTAATCCTCCGCCTGCGATGCCAGCATCCCATACGGTCACCAGGTTCTAGTCCCGGTTGCTCCTCTTCCAGTCCAGCTCTCTGCTGTGGCCCAGGAAGGCAGGGGAGGATGGCCCAAGTGCTTGGGCCCCTGCACCTGCATGGGAGACCGGGAGGAAGCACCTGGCTCCTGGCTTCGGATCGGTGCAGTGCTAGCCGTGGTGGCCATTTGGGGAGTGAACCAATGGAGGGAGGACCTTTCTCTCTGTCTCTCTCTCTCACTGTATATAACTCTGTCAAAAAAAAAAAAAAAAAAAAAAGACTATAAAAATGGGGGTGGATGATGTGGCACAGAAGGTTCAACTGCCACTTGGGACATACCTGCAACCCATCTTAAGAGTTCTGGTTTGGGGCTGGTGCTGTGGCGTAGTGGGTAAAGCTGCCACCTGCAATGCCAGCATCCCATATGGGCACTGGTTTCTGATCCAGCTCTCTGCTATAGCCTGGGAAAACAGAAGATGGCCCAAGTCCTTGGGCCCCTGCACCCGCATGGGAGACCCAGAAGAAGCTCCTGGCTCCTGGTTCCAGATCGGTGCAGCTCTGACCATTGCAGCCATCTGGGGAGTGAACCAGCGGATGGAAGACCTCTATTTCTCTGCCTCTGCCTTTCTGTAACTCTGCTTTTCAAATATATATATATATATATCTTAAAAAAAAACAGTAAGAGTGCTGGTTCAAGTCCCAGTACCTCTGCTTCTGACCCAGCTTCCTGCTAATGCATTCTGGGTCAGCAGGTGATAGCTCAAGTGTTTGGATCCCAGCAACCCACACAGGAGACCCAGATGACATTTCTGACTCCTGGTTTCAGCCTGGCCCAGCCATGGCTGTTGTGGGCCTTCAAGGAGTGGGACAGCTGTCTCCTCAAACTCTGTCACTCTACCTTTCAAGTAGATGAAAATAAATACATAAAATTAAAAAAAAAATCACTCTCTTAAAAAAATAAACAGCCTAGCAGTTAACATGTTTATACCCCATAATGGAGTTACTGGGTTTGAATCCCAGCTTCAGTTTCTGACTCCAGTTTCCTGCTGATATAAACACTGGGAGGCAATTGTGATGGTTCAAGTAGTTGGGTTCCTGCCACCCACATGGGAGAACCGGGCTGAGTTCATGGCTCCTGGCTTTACCTCTGGCATAGTCCAGCCAGTATGGGCATCTAGAAAGTAAGTCAGTGGACAGGAATTGTCTTTTTCTCTTCCCCCTCCATATCTCTTTCTCTAATAAACTAATTAAAAAATTGTAAGGACACAGAGGGGCCAGCACTGTGGTACAGTGGATTAAGCTGCTCTTTCAGATGCCAGCATCCTATATGAGCACTGGTTAGAGTTCCAGTTGCTCCACTTCCAATCCAGCTCCCTGCTAATGCACTTTGGAAAGCAGCACATGAAGGCCCAGGTACTTGGGTCCCTACCACCCCCGTGGGAGACCCGGGTGGAGTCAGAAGCTCGTTTTTGGCCTGGCCAGCCCCAGCCATTGTGGCCATTTGGTGAGTGAGCCAGCAGAAGGAAGACCTCTTTCTCTCCATGTCTCTCCCTCTCCTAACTCTGCCTTCAAATAAATCTTTACAAAAGAAAAAAGAATACAGAAACTTTATGTATGCTATTAGACTAAAACTAGCATTAAGGGTTTGTAGCTAGAAAGTACTGTTGACAGAAATGTATGAAAACATTAGTAACCACACATTCAGAGTAGCTAACCAAAAAAAGTTGCCAGAAAGGGCTCTGGGAGTCTGTCTGATTCATGCTGCCTAGCACATACAAACATTTGAAGATCCAAACAATGTCTGAGTCACAGAAATGAAGGAAGTCATTGAGGCTGGCCAAAATATAATGCAATCTCACTGTTGCCTCTACAGTTGTCAGTAACATTTCACCCTTGAAGAGATTTTCCAGGTGGGTTGGTAGACGAATGAACAGGACTCTGGAACCTGGGCAGGGATCTGAGCTACATCCCTACACACCCCAACAACACCTCTGAAAACCATCATTCATAGGATCCCACCTCTGGGGAAACCAGGCCTGTGCGCCAGCTGTGACCCCGGAGAGTGAGCCAAGTTTCATAGGACACTGTGGAGAAGAGGAAGACAGGTCAGCAAACTGGAGGTCACCTTGGGACAGCTGAATTAATCACAAACAAATGTGGGAGAATCAATCCAGTGGATGGTGGAACCCAATGTGTCACTAAATTCTGGTCTCAGCAAAAGGAAACTTTCTGCATTTTGCTTTGCTTTGCAATGTTTTTGCTTGCGGCTTGTAGGGGTGGATGTGACGATGTCTCAATCAGTGCGTGTTCTTCCAATGCCCAGGAACTGTTTGTTGCCTAAAACCTTGTCATGCCTTTGTGACTGCAGAAGCTGGTCTTCCCCTTGGTGACCAGGCAAAAATCCATGTCTCCCTGCCCCTCAGGTAAACTGCCTTGTCCCCTCCCATCTGCTCTCACTGTACCTCAATAACACACTGCAGTTTGGTATCCATCTACTCCACTGCATTGTTAAGGTCCTTGAAGGCAGAAACGGTCACCCCAAATCCATCTCCCCACCCTCCTCAAATGCTTCCCATTCAAAGTAGTGCTCAACATAGCTGAGCACTTGGTTCTGCCAAATCCCACCTCTTTGCACCAAGCAAATGATTCCAAAAACAAATGACAAACACTTGAATCTTTGATCATCAACACTGCCTTTTCAAAAACAGAGAAACTCTTAACTATTCCTACTGGAAATACCTGGGAGCGTCAGTCCTGATGAGGGACAAAGAATGCCTCCAGGAGTTATAAAGACAGCCCAGCGAAGCAATGTGCCCTGAATGAGGAGCAGAGGAGCCCCAGGGGGACCAGATCCATCTACCAGAGACAGAATATGCAGCAAGGTGGCCAGGGAGCCTCAAAGACAACGTGCCTCAGCGATGATGCCTAGCTCTATCACTGTCCAAAAAGAGAGGAACATCAGCCAAGCCAAGTTCCACTGCCAACAGCAAGCCAAATATGATGACAATGCAACAGGCTCACTGAGCCCGAGGCCATCACACACCACTCATTAATTCCTCTTATTCTGACTTCTTGCTAAAATTTCTTCCCTAAAGGGAAGAGGCAGGGCAAAACTGTAACAGAACTCCATAAGGTACATCTGACTGCAGTTTCAAATGGAGAAACCACATCTCATGTACCTACAGGACTTCCAGCATCCTCCAATCCGTATGCGGTATGAAATCTGTATGTATTTCTTCACAGCTCCATCTATGGCATCTTATTAAAGTTGCTCCTATCACCAACTAAAAAATAACAGAGCATATCCAAAGATAAAACAGGACTTTCTTAAGAAGGTTAATATCTGGTTGAGAACATGGCAGTAACCAAAAGTACAAACAGACCCATACACAAAGTGAAAATCAAAGGCAAGCCTCATCGCCCTGCACAGGTTTATCAAGTCTGGAAAGCGGGCTTCTCTTCTTCAAATCCGAAGTCCTCCACCATTTAACTATGAAAATTTCAGGGGCTGGCGCTGTAGCACAGCAGGTTAACCCCTTGGCCTGAAACACCAGCATCCCACATGGGCGCCAGTTCAAGACCCGGCTGCTCCATTTCCAATCCAGCTCTCTGCTATGGCCCAGGAAAGCAGACGATGGCCCAGACACTCGGGCCCCTGCACCTACATGGGAGACCTGAAGAAGCTCCTGGCTTCAGATCAGCACAGGTTGGGGAGTGAATCAATGGAAGACCTCTCTCTCTCTGCCTCTCCTCTCTCTCTGCAACTCTTACTTTCAAATAAATAAATAAATCTTAAAAAAAGAAAATTTCAGCAGAGCGACAGACACAGAGATCTTCCATCCATTGGTTCACTCCCCAAAATGTCCACAATACCTGGGGCTGGGCTAGGTTGAAGCCAGGAGCTGGGAACTCAGTCCAGGTCTCCCATGTGGGTGGCAGGGACTCAAGCCATCATCTGCTGCCTCCCAGAGTTTGCGTTAGCAAAAAACTGAAATTGGAATGGGAGCTGGGACTCAAACCCAGGGCCTGACATGGAGTGTGGGCATTCCCAGTGCTGTTCTATCTGTTGTGTTGGGCAGCTACCGTAACCACGCCTAGCCTGTTTTCTCATCAGTAAAACAACGAAAATAAGAACACAAGGATAAGGCCGGAGCTGCGGCTCACTAGGCTAATCCTCCGCCTTGCGGCGCCGGCACACCGGGACACCGGGACACCGGGTTCTAGTCCCGGTCGGGGCGCCGGATTCTGTCCCGGTTGCCCCTGTTCCAGGCCAGCTCTCTGCTGTGGCCAGGGAGTGCAGTGGAGGATGGCCCAAGTGCTTGGGCCCTGCACCCCATGGGAGACCAGGAAAAGCACCTGGCTCCTGCCATCGGATCAGCGCGGTGCGCCGGCCGTAGCGGCCATTGGAGGGTGAACCAATGGCAAAGGAAGACCTTTCTCTGTCTCTCTCTCTCACTGTCCACTCTGTCAAAAAAAATAAATAAACAAACACAGGATTTTGCCAGGATTAAACTCAGTATGGTACAGGGTCTGCTCCACGCCATCAGAACAGCAATTATTATTGTTTTCCCTCCAGCTGTTGCTTTTCCAAAATTGACAGGTAAAAGCCAACTAGACATTCTCACTTGAGAAAGTACACTACTTAAGGCACCCGGCAAAACAAAAAAATAAAAGTCACCTTCGAGTCGGGAGTCGTGCCAGCTGACTTCAATTTCCTCCTCTCGGCATTCAAGTTATACCATAACTGAATACTATCCAACGGTCATAAAGGGCTATGTTCACTGTATTCAAAACCTAATTGCAGAAAAGGGCATGAGTCACAAGGTCTCACTGACTTCCTACGTGAACTGCACAGCGCGCGGGATCTGGCCCGGCTCCCCGCGCTCCGTTCTCACTGCACGCCAGCTACCCCGTCTTCCACTCCACGGAGCTGGGCCGCCCCGGAGGGTCTGCTCGCTCCCAGCTTCCCGTCCACGGGCCGAGCTCCAGCCCGGCGCACGCCCGGGCAGCCGACCCCAGGCGGTCTGCGTCCCGGCGGGGCAGGTGCGCCTGGGAGGCCGAGCCCCCGAGGGCACCCCCAAGTGCCTGGTGAGGGAGCGAAGGGGCGCTGTGCCCGTTGCCCCAAGCGACAAGGCCCGGGCCCCGCGCAGACACCGGCGCCGCGACGCCCAGAGCCGTGGGTCGGCCCCGTCAGAGGCCAACGGAGACGCACAGGAGGGAAGACCCGGCCTCCCAGGAGCCCCCGGAGCCAGGGCGGACCCGCCGCCGACCGCAGAGGGACCGGCGGGAGACTAGGCGTTGCCCGAGGGCGGCGCTGCGACGGGTCGTGGCTGAGGAGCTGGCTCTGCGGCCCCTGGTTCGGCAGTTCCCGAACGCGGCCGCCATCGCGTCACCCCCAGGAGGCGGGCCGGCCCCACCGCCGCGCAGCCAGCCACCGCCCCGCGACCCTCACCTGGCGCCGCGGAAGCCGCAGCGGCGGACCGACCCTGCCGCCGGCGGAGACGTGGCCGTGCGCGGGGCGGTGCGGACGGCTCGGCCCCCCCGGAAACCGCCCGCGCGCCGCCTCCGTTCCGGAGGAGAAAACGTTCCCTTCGGCGTGACAGCAGGTGCCCTCAGGCCAGGCCGGCCCCGGCCAGGGGCTCCATTCGAGCTCACCCAGGACTGGCCCGAAGCGGATTCCACACGATGACCGAAGCGCTAAGACCCTCGCCCAGCCAGAAACACAAGCACCACTCTCGGGACCACTCTGACAGGAAGCGAGACAATTGAACTTCCAGCGGAAGTGGCGTGGCCAGGTCTGCGTCCTCTCCCGGCCACGCCCCATCCGTCCTGCTGCGGGCGTGGCCTCCCGCCGGCCCCGCCCTCGACGGGGCGTGGCCGCAGGCCGAGGCCGCTGGGGTCGCCGCCCCCGGGGTCGCCGCCCCCGGGACGCCGGTCGGGTTCGCGCTGTCCCCGCGGGTCGTTCTCAACCCCCACGCACCAGGTCATAAGTGGGGCCGTTGTTACCGTCTCAGCCTTTTCAACACACCAGCTCTGGTGGCCGCGGAGGCGAGGCTCAGGGCCGAGTCGTGGCTACAAACCGCGCCGGCGCTCCCCGCACTTGCGCGCGGCGGCCCCTTCCCCGCCTGCCCCTGGAGCCGCCGGTGCGGAGCGCTGGCCTGCGGCGACCGGGCTGCCACCCTCGTGGGCCGCGGATCCGTCCGCATTTTGCGGTTCTCAGAATACGGCCTCGGTTCGTGTCTGTGGCGTTAATACCTTAGCGCTTTATTTTCTTTGCAGGGATTGTAAATGGCATTGCGGGTTTTACTGCATTTTCCGCACGGCCGTTGCCATTCTGCAGAAATACAGTGGGTGTCCTGTGTTGGTCTCGTATCCTGCGGCCGCACCGAGCTCACTTGTTTGTTCTAGTGTTTGTTTTTTTGATGCTGTATAAACTCCTTGGAATTTCCCTTTTACAAATGAGAAATTTTACACAAAATTATGAGACCGGGGCCGGCGTTGTGGCACAGCAGGTTAGGCTGCCACCTGAGACACCTGCGACCCAGCTCCTCCACTTTTGGTCCCCTTCCTGCTGGCGTGCAGCCAAGGAGGCCGATGATGGTTCCAGTGGCCCCTGCCACTCTGTGGGAGACCCAGATCGAGCTCCTGGCTGCCGGCTCCCGCCTGGCCCAGCCCTGGCCATTGCAGACATTTGGGGAGTGAACCCGATGGTGTACAGGCGGGGTTGGGGAAGGGATATCACAGGGTCTAAACTGTATGATCTAAATTCACTTACACAACTCTCAAGAAATGAAATTAAAGATAGCAGATGTCAGCCACGGATTAGAAATGACGGGAAAAGCACGAGGGAGAGCCTTATGGAGAAGGAATGCACCGTATCTGGATTGGGATGGTGGTCACCTGCGGTAAAGTGCCAGAATACAGCCTCAGTTTGTGCTACAATGTCAGCGCCATACACACGCTGACTACACATGTGATACAATGATGGAGCTATACACACTGACTACACATGTGATACAATGACGGAGCTATACACACGCTGACTACACATGTGATACAATGACGGAGTTATACACACGCTGACTACACATGTGATACAATGATGGAGCTGTATACACGCTGACTACACATGTGATACAATGACGGAGCTATACACAGACTACACATGTGATACAATGACGGAGCTATACACATGCTGACTACACACGTGATACATTGACAGCACCATACACACGCTGACTACATATAAAGACAGCACTGTACACACGCTGCCTACACATGTGATACAATGACGGAGCTATACACAGACTACACATGTGATACAATGATGGAGCTATACACATGCTGACTACACACGTGATACATTGACAGCACCATCCATACACATGCTGACTACATATAAAGACAGCACTGTACACACGCTGCCTACACATGTGATACAATGATGGAGTTATACACACACTGACTACACATGTGATACATTGACAGCACCATACACACGCTGACTACATATAAAGACAGCACTGTACACACGCTGACTACACATGTGATACAATGACAGCACCATACACACGCTGACTACACATGCGATACAATGATGGAGCTATACACAGACTACACATGTGACACAATGATGGAGCTATACACACACTGACTACACATGTGATACACTGACAGCACCATACACACGCTGACTACATATAAAGACAGCACTGTACACATGCTGCCTACACATGTGATACAATGACAGAGCTATACACATGCTGACTCTGGGTATATGCTACAATGACAGTGCCATACACACGCTGACTACATATGTGATACAATGACAGAACTAATCATGCTGACTACATGTGTGATACAGTAACAGAGCCATACACATGCCAACTACACATGTGATACAATGATGGAGCTATATACATGCTGACTAAACATAAATGACAAAACTGTACACACCCTTTGGCCCAATGTTAGTTCCTGGTTTTGATGTGGCAGCATAGTTATATAACTTATAACCAACAGAGGAAATTGGGACAGCAATTTCTGAGCCTCTTTGCTAAGTACACTGCAGGCTGCTCCAACAGTCCTCTCGGCTGAGCTGTTGGCCCAGAGAGGGTGTGCCGTCACCAGGGTCCCCAGCAGGCAGAAGCCCATTCCAGATCTCATTTGGTTGCATCCCCTGGAAAAAAGTTCTAGAACACTGGGAGTGACTGGCTGGGTACCTGCTACTCTCAGATATGGGGCTGATCATCCCAATTCTGCTAGCATAGGGTAATTACAATGCTTTAAAACTTATTTCAGGGATGGGCACCTGGTGCAGCAGTTTGGATACAACTTGGGATGTCTGCATCCAAGCTAGAGTGCCTGGGTTCAGGTCTCAGCTGCAACTGCCAGTCCCAGCTTCCTGCTCATGTGCACTCTGGGAGACAGCAGGTGACGGCGAAAGTGCTTGGTCCCTGCCACCAGTGTGGGAGATCTGGACTGAGTTTCAGGCTCCTGATTTTGACCTGGTCCAGCCCCAGCTATTGTGGGCATTTAGGGAGTGAACCAGCAGAAAGATATCACTCTTATCTCTCTGCCAAATAAGTAAAAATAAATATTTTAAAGCTGTATTTCAAGTTGCCCTTTTCTCTGGTCTCAGAGGAAAACAAAAACAAAAACAAAACCTAATAGGCTTGGTTGCAATCAGGAGGCCTCCCTAGGCCTCACCAGGCTCCCTCAGAATCCCCATGGCCCTTTTCCCCTGGCTTGGAACTCACGACCCTTCAGGCTAGCTCATTCTGACACAACAGGGAAGGTGGCACAACTGATGGAGAGAGGGGAGGTGGGCAGGACTGAGCCTATTATGAGGGGGGTCATTAAGAGGACAGGGTGCCACGAAAGGAGACACAGGTAAGGAGACATGGGGAGAAGGAAGTGGGCACCTGCAGGCCGAGCTCTGGTCTGTTCCGGCTGGGCTTAGACAGTCAGACTTAAGCAAGGAGGAGTTTCCTTGGCTGCCAGCTGTTCTTCACAGCAAGCCTATGAGTGAGCACTCACCCCTCCCGACAGGACACAGGGCTCCAAGACAACTGGAGGTTGTTGGTTTTGTGGGGTGGGGTGGAAGGGTCCTGAGGAACAGGAAGTACAGCAAACTGGAAAAGCACCGCAAGTTCACATCCGCCCGCCAGTGTAAAGCAGCTATGATGTCCAGGGAATAAGCACCCTGGTCCCAGGCCTCCTCCTGAGATCAGAGGAAGTACAGAAAATCATAAAACACTGCCCAAGTTCACATCCCTGCCTCTATAAAACAGCTCATTTTCACATCCAGGGACTAACCACCCCGGCCCTAAGGCCTCCGGCCCTGGCCAGAGTCATGCTCTGTCCTGAAGAATGTGTGCTCACTGGAAGAGAAAAGCGGGAACTGGAGCTCACCATCCAGCAGAGTCCCTCAGCATCCCCACTGTGGGCCAGGCACCAACTTCTCCTCACTCCCGAGAAAGTCGAGTGCCCCAAGAGCTCTGAGCTGCCCTTCCCTCCCTATATAGATCCTCCTTCCTGTACAGCAAGACCTGAGGAGAGCTGCAGGTTCTGTTTGAACCCAGGCAGAAAAAGGCTGCTGTGTCCTCTACAGGGTCTGCGGTTTTTTTACTTTCTGAGGAGGAAGAGGCAGGTGGAAATGAATGGTTAGCCGAGCTCTCTAAGACAGACACCAGGAAGCCCCAGCCTGCCTAACTCTTGGGCAGCGTACCCTGGGCCCACTGGGAAAAGAGGCTGTGGCTTCCCAGGGTTGGTGGAAGGAAGACCCCTGTGCCGCTGTCACCAGGTGGGCCAGGTCACTCGTTACTGAGTGTGCTCACCTCACGAGGTTCATGTGCTGAAGGAGTCCCCAGACTGACTGGCAGTAGTAACACACCAGTAAATCTACACGGAGTCTTCCCCCAGAACATGAGAACATGTGGCAGCCTCATACACGAGCCCAACACAGAGAGGGGAGAAACAAACGCAGCTTGTTTATTAGAATCCAAAACGAGGACATTCTCCCACAAATACAGAGTGCTGCTTCTCAGTCTGTATCAAGAGCAAGACAATCGCTGAAAATCGTTATTCCTGAGAAGAAGCAAAAACGCTACCAGTTTGCAAACAAACAGAACAGGTGATTTCAATGACAGATAAAAAGATTTTCCTAACAAAACCCAAAGTTTCAAGTATTATTCCAGATGACATGGCAAACCTAATGTGGCAGCAAAGGCCCCAGCTCCCTCTCATGCTCTGTGGGGTCCCCGTGACAAGGGCATGCCCCACAGGGACAAGTGGGCACGTGGCTGTGGCCATCAGGAAGAAGGCAGCCGTGCATCCTGGCCCTCACCTCTGCTCCACAGCCGGGACCCGTGGCCAGCCCTACATGAGAGACAGCAGTGCCTCAACTCACACACTTTAGCAAGGGGCTGCTAACTCAACGTCCACAACTCATGTTAGCAGTTTTGGACATTTGAAGACTTTTTTTTTTTTTAATAAACAGTAACATATGCTTATTCTTTCAAATACCATCCACTCCTCAGCTTAGTCAATTTGTAAATTATAAATTATATTATTTGTGCTACAGTTTGTGATATTTAAAT